ATAGAGTTTCCCTGCGCAGTAGATATAATATATTTAGGAAATTTGAGAACGTTAAAATAGAAATTCATCAATTAATTTAATGATACAATAGAAAAACAAGAGTAGAATTAGAATGCATATCTAGCCTGATCTTATCTCATTCTACAATATAAATGGTATATTAAACCTATTAAATCATCTTTCAACTAAAAATGGGTTCCATATTTATAGAAAAGCTATAAATGTTTTTGAAGACAACATGGTATATGAACTTGGTGGAACAAGGGAAATTATAGAAATATATGAGATATCTATTTAGGAAAAAATATAATAGTAGTAGAGTCCTACAGTAGGGCTATATGGATTGTTATGAGAATCTGCAGAAGAACAAAAAATTGTTTCTTTGCGGCAGTTGTCACTCGGGATAGATATACATTAAAAATAATTTAAAAACATGTCTATGAAGAATCTACAATCATGACAGATAGCTGGAAATAATAAAACTTAATTGCACTATATTTTATATTATATAGCTATACTTAATTGAATAAATGTAATTATGTTCATTACATGATCAATCATTCAGAAAATTTTACATCAAGATTTGACCCCTCAATACATACTCAAACCATTCAAAGGCAATGAAGAAACTTAAAAAATTGTATTCCAGGTAGTGTTGTTAAACGGCTAAGCTGAGTCAACTTAGTTACGACTCTAGCCTAGTTTTAGTCGAAAAAAACTTGAGTCGACCGAATGAGTTGCATTAGTTGGTTCCTTAGTCGACTCCCGAAGCGATTTTATATATAAAAATTTTATAAAATTATATATAAGAATTCATAATTATAACTTTTTAATATATATCAAATCCAGAGATACGATTAGCATTAAAAAATAAAATCATCCTCTTATTAATTACCTTTTCATTCATTATGTGTATGCCTTATCTTATTTAATTTTTATAATATTTACTTTTTAAGACATTCTTTTTTTAATTCCCTTATTTTGGCATTTTAATTAAACCCTTTAATGATCATTTATATCAGAGGTATTTTATGTAAAAATAAATAAAATAATCTAAAATATCAAATTTGCGATCATGTGGCTTTTAGTGAAAATAATTTTTTGATGTAAAAATAATTAATTTTCACAATTCTTTAATTTTACATTAATAATGGCATCAAAATACTAATTTATATTTAAATGAATACATAATTTTTAAAAAAACTTCCTGTTATATACATTAAAAATTTTAAATGTATTCTTAAATAATGGACAAATATTTACTTTATAGCTGAATTATAATATTACTTTTTAAAATTCATAATGAATAAATATTTCAAAATTTTATTCTTCATTATCCAATATAATTATAAATTAATTATAAATATATGTCGTAATTTCTAAGGGATCAGAACTAGAGATCATCATGAGTTTTAAAGGGATAACTAAAAAATTAGGGTTTTAAGTTAAGGAATGATAATACCGTATTATCACGTTTTAATCGTGATAAAGAGTAATCTTATTTTAAAAAGCTTTTTACGTGCGTTACTTTTCGTTTTATTTCCTTTTAATTTTATTGTCATTTATTCATTTTCAATGTTGTTTTTTTAGCCTTATGAAATAAGATATGTCTAATATAAGGTATCAATCAATAGCTAATCAAAAGATCTATTCAACTGGTGGTCAATCTCTCCCCCTTAAAGGTCTGGGGGGTAAAGAATATTTTTATTAAAATAAAATATAGATATGGGTATCAAATATTAGCTAATTTTAATATCTTTTGACTGTAAATGTTCATTCTTGGTCTTGATGGGTATGGCTTGTTCTGGGGGTAGGGGGTTATGGAGGGGTTGGGGGTATAAAAAATAATTTTTTTGATATGGGTATCAAATAAAAGGTAATTAATACTCATAGAGGGCGGGTCTAGGTCTTGGTGGGTCAGGAATATTTTGGTTAACACAAAATATCGATATGGGTATTATCAAATAAAAGCTCATTTAAATATCTTTAGATTGAAAGTATTTATTTTTTGTCTTGATGGGTATGATTTGGTCTGGAGGGTGGATGGAGGGGTGGGGCAAAAAATTTTTTATTTTTGATATGGGAATCAAGTAAAAGGTAATTTAAATATTTTTTTTATTTTAATAATAATAATCCCTCATACCTGGCGGGTTTAGGTCTTGGGGGGGGGGGGGTCAGGAATATTTTTATCAACACAAAATATAGATGTGGATATCAAATAAAAGCTAGTTTAAATATCTCTTGATTGTAATAATTATACTCTAAGTAGGCGAGAGGTCTTATGTGGTCAGGAATATTTCTATAAACACAAAATATTGATACAGGAATCATATAAAAGGTATTTTAAATATCTTTTGGAGGGTAAAGAAATATTATTTTTAATATGGGCATCACATAATAGGTAATTAAAATATTTTTTATTGTAATAATAAATAAACTCTAAATGGGCTCTAGGTCTTGGAGGCCAGGAAATTTTTTATCATCACAAAATATTGATATGACTATAAAATAGAAGCTAATTAAAATATTTTTCTACTAAATAAAATAATAGTATTTGTTGTAATATTCGTTAAATTTGTACTTTATATTTAATTTGCATAAAGAGTTCTTTTGGATTTATTATTATAACGCGTGATAAAAATATTATATTTGAATAGTGAAAACTGAAAATAATTTAAGTTATGAATATTATTTATAAAGAAGATTGAAAAGTATAAAAACTCCAATTTTTACCATTTGAAATGATCTTTTATAATTATTAACTTTTTTATATTTTATTTTTATTTTTATTAATCTTTTTTTATTATTTTTATTTTTACTTTTATAATTTCTATTTTTATTTTTAGGTCTCAAAAGCCTCACTTTCAACAGTATTCACTCTTGGTCTATTAATGAGATGGATTAGGTCCGGAGGAGGGAGGGGTTAAAAATAATAATTTGATATGAGTATCAAATATAAGCTAATGGAAATCTCTAAAGACTATAATAATAACTAGTAGTAAATGGTCGGGTCTAGGTGAACAGAATTTGTATAAAATTTTTATAATATATAAATGGAACAATGTTATCAAATACTTCGGAAGTCCGTTATTAATCAATAAATATATTCTAAATATTTACTCTGCATATTTTTAAAATAAACTTTCACATAAAATTATAAATAGATAGGAATTTAATGTATTAATGATTGAAGTTTGCCTACATAATATAAAATTAATTTGATTAAAACAATTCTTTTATGCGTTTATACCTAATCCCCTTTAGTATAAATTAAGATTTAGGATATTTATAAATTTTGTCAAAAAACAAACCTCGTTAAGAAAGACTTAGCCTTTCTTTAGTAGCCAGGCCCTCATACATATTAACAAAATGTCTAGTTGGATAGAATTTACAGAAATAAAATAGAATGAAGATAAAACAATTTTTTAAATCTTTTTTCGGTTTCAATCCTGAACTTAAAATATATAATTTGCAGTGTTCTTAATTAAGCGCATTATTCCATAGCTATTTTTAGTATCGATAACTTTAAGAATGCTACTTTTTCAAAAAAGTTATTTTTTGACTCCCCCCTCTCCATATACCCTCTAGACCAAGTCATACCCATCAAGACAGAAAATGAATACTTTCAATCATAAGATATTTAAATTAGCTTATATTTGATACCTTTATCGATATTTAGTGTTGATAAAAATATTCCTGACCCCACAAGACTTAAACCAGCGCGGTTTGAGGGATTATTATTACAATAAAAATATTTTTGTCACCCCCTTCAGACCAAGCCATACCCATCAAGACGAAAAATAAATACTTTCAATCTAAAGATATAATTAGCTTTTATTTGATACCCATATCGATATTTTGTGTTGACCAAAATATTCCTGACCCACCAAGACCTAGACCCGCCCTCTATGAGAATTATTATTATTACAATAAAAAAATATTTTAATTACCTTTTATTTGATACCCATATCAAAAAAATTATTTTTTATACCCCCACCCCTCCATCCACTCCCCAGAACAAGTCATACCCATCAAGACCAAGAATGAACATTTACAGTCAAAGGATATTTTTAAAATTAGCTATTATTTGATACCCATATCTATATTTTATTTTAATAAAAATATTCCTGACCCCCTAGACCTTTAAGGGGGAGAGATTGGCCTCCAGTTGAATAGATCTTTTGATTAGCTATTGATTGATACCTTATATTAGACATATCTTATTTCATAAGGCCAAAAAAAATATCTAACAATTAATAAAAAAACAAAGCAAAACGCGCGTAAAACACGTTTTAAATTAAGATTCTTCTATATCATTGTTTAAACGAGATAATATCGTATAGTTCTTTATCCTTTAAAAAATTGAATTCTTAAAGGGATCCCTTTAAAACCCGTGGTGATCCCGGATAGTTTTTATACCTTTAAAATTACGACACATATATAAACAAGCATATCAATTTCAATACTCGATTAAAAAGTAATGTTATTTATTAATGATAATTATATTTAGTAAATATTTAAATGATTTTTTTTTTATTGTAAAAAAAATATTCTACAAACAAATAAAAAAGATGGGCGTCAAAAAAAAATTAAAATACATCAATTAGATATTTCATAAAATTTAAGCCCAGCTCGATTTATTTAAAAAAATATTAGGCCCAACCCAGCCTGAACCCTTTTTTTAAAGATCCAATTAATTTATTTAAAAAATGAATAGCTAACTATTTTTTATCTATTCTACCTTCTCTCTGCTATCTGATTAGATACCATCATCCCTATAAAATTAAAGGGGCCTTTAAAATAGAGTAAGCCACTGACCAGCTATTTCAGATTGTCAAGTGGTACATGCTTGATATAACACTTCAATTGGTGGGTTATAATTTATTTAAAATAGATTAATAATTGAAATTTAGCGTTAAATTTATAGATTAATATTGGTCGAATAATATCACATTTTTATTTGTAAAATAAAATAATTAAATTGTAAATATACACACATAGTTTGCAAAAAAAAATTATACATCATTATATTAAATTAATCATACAAAAATCTAATTTAAATAATTGTTTTGATATTCTAGTATAAATTATATAAATTTAATGTTACCTATATAATAATATATTATACTATAAATATAAAATAAGTGAAAAAATTAATACTCTTTCATATAAAAAATATTGAAATCATTTTTTAAGCATATTTAATAAAATGAATATTCAAAAATAAGTATTAATAATAAGTAGATGTTTTCATTATGCTCTTGTTATATCAAAAATTGCTGGCACATTTTAAGATTTTTTTCTTCCTATTATGTATTGTTGAAAATAAATATATAATTTAGTTGTAAGAAAAATATAAATTTGTAACTAAATAAAATAAAGGATGAAATTGCTATTACCAATAAGTTGCAAACTAATGCCAGTAAATTGGTTTCAGCCTTCTGCCTCGTTGCATCGCTGTATTCCTATTTTTTAGGACACATAAATAAAAATTATGCAATGAATAATGATTGCAAATAAACAATATACTACACCTTTTAATAAATAATATTTATGATACGAAAAAGTGTTATTAAATATTAAAAAGCCCGAATCGGGTTGATTTTTAAAAACTGCTCTATTAATAGGACCGTTTTTAATCGACCAAAATTGGGCTTTTTTAACAATATGTAGCAGCTAAGAATTAAATTCCAATATATTCGTTTTATAATGTTTATATTTGATGAATGAATGACAAAAAAGGCTTGTTGCAAAAGTATATCATTAGTATAAATAAGAATAATAATATAATTATTACCCCATTAACAATGATCCAGGGAACGTAATAAAGTTTAGGAATGAGGGAATTGGTTTGGATTCCATTTAAATGCATAAACGAATGCCCCTCGGTGCCCTCAGCACATTCTTTAAGTTCAGTGTAATCCATATTGGCATGAGAAGAACACTTGTAAGATTATTTTTTTTAAAGTTGCTAAGATAAATTGGTTTGAAGGGCAAGTAACATGATTTTATAAATTAATGTAAATGATAAGGTAATAAATTAGATATCTTACAATAGATGGGTTAAGTTTAACTTTATTGTAAGCAAAAAATGAATTAACTCGCTTCTGCTTAATGCTTAACGGATTTTCTTTGGCATATGTCTATTAAATTAGGTCTATCAAATAATGAATATGAATGGCGCATTATTGGTATTTAATCTGTTTCAACAAATCGGATAATTTACATGATATTCTTAGTGTATGGACGATACGATTTATTTATTTGAATACTCGTTTTATTGTAATATTGAAATAATTTACAAATAATTTGTATTTAAAAAATATATAGAATAAGTTAAAGAATTAAACATAATTAACCTTTACAGGCCTCATGACTACTAAATAATGTTTATTCTATAGTGGATTTTTAGATGTCTTTTAAATTCATAATTTTTAAATAATATATTTACTGCCTTGTATTTTATCATTGGCTGCTTATTGCCATATAATATATAATTGAATATTGTCAAATTTGTCATTTTTTACGCGCGAATTTTCTAACTCATATTCCATCATCATATATATTAAAATCAACAGTGAAAGGTACTTATATTATTTAGTATTATATTGTTTATAATTAACTTATATAAAAATTTATAATTTTTATCAATATCTTTACCAAGATAGGCCAAGATGTATCTTAATTGTTTCACAATACATTCCATTTTTTCAGATATTAGAATTTAAAATGTAAGAGAGCGTTTTAAAGATTTGGGAAGGGTGGGGGTTTACAATATAAAGAATACTTTTCTCTAAACAATTAATTATTTATGCTTACTAATAGTATTTTATTTATTTAAGTTATATCGTAATCCCGAAAGGAGATCGATCAGGTGCAATAACAGGAAGTGAAGACGATAACACACAATTAGTTTGCTCCAAACAAATTATGGTATGGCATGCTCATATATTTTGTCACTAACCTTGAAATTGAAGATATACTTATGCTGATAAAACAGTTTGGTGTATATCAACCATTTTGATATAGAATATAAAGTATAGTTTTCAGAACCTAAAATTGAAGGGCCATTAAAGTTATAGAAAAATATTATTTTCAGATGTCTGGAAACTGCATACACATTAATTTAGCTGAAATAGAACAGTTTATTTCTCCTATATATAGATCTAGTAGAAATGCCCTCAATCAGACAATATCGGCCTTTGGAAGATCGCATCCCATAAATTTCATAAACAATGCTAAAAAAGAAGTTTTTTCCCATTATAATGAAAATTAAAAGCGAAAATATTTTCACATTAGTCACAATCAAATTGTTAATCGCTACTTTTAAAAGTAGCGTGTTACCGCTATCACTATTTGTCAAAAAAAGTAGCTCGCTATTAGCTACTATTTTTAAAATGTAGCTTTAGCTACTTTTTATAAAAAAAATTTAGAAACAATTTTTTTTTATTTTGCATATAATGTAATTATATAGTAAATAATATATAAAAATCAACATTTATAAATATTAAAATATAGTTAATTTTGATTATAAAAAAATTTATGTAATAAATTTTAAATATTTATGGCAATTTGTTGAATTTTAATAAAAAAATCATTTCAATATTATCATCCCCAAGTCTAGAGCGACGATCAGAAAGTATCAGTTTTGCCTTACTAAATAATCTCTCGACACTAGCACTTGAGGGCAAGGGATTATTTAATCTTATATACATTTTTGTGTCCAACTATCAGCCGTGGTACATATATGAAATATCTCTGATAATTCTACTATTAAAGCATCTTTCATCACTTTAAACCAGGCGTGTATGCAAAAATTTGGTCTGGGGGGGGGGGGATAATAAAATTTTTTAAGAAATATTATTGTTTTTTAGAAATATCAAGCATTTATTAGGACTAATAACTATTCTTAATACACAATTTTAAATTAATGTGAATTATAAAAAAATTATATGTAAAGAATCACTTAAATTACCCAAAATAGAAATTTGAATTTTTTGAGCCTTTACACAAGAAGTTTCTTAGGAATAATTGTATTTTGTATGTTATATATTTACAATGTAAAATCCAATCTTCGTTGGGATTGAGCTAATAAGTCCTCACATTTCTTATAATCAAATCCTAGAACCAAACCTCTGAAATTTATTTTACTAAATAGGAACTCTTTTTATTCACAGCCCTGACATTTTTAAAAACAATTATCAAATAACTGTTTAGCATTATAACTTACCATTTTTTAATATTTTATTTATTTTTGAAAAGGCCTAAGCTCATTTTTAAGGTAATATAATTTTAATAAAATTAAAAAATAAATAATATGACCAACTAATAAAAAAAATACTTCAATAATACTATTAAAGAAATTGTTTTTTGACATTGTACATCCAACAAAATACATGGCATCTGGAGATGAGACTCTAAACTTGTGATTCCAAGCACAGGCCTAAAATAGAAATAAGATATAGAATAACATATTTAAGTTCTTACATGCCAAGCATTGCCAATACATTCATCTTTTCCATGCTGACATTCAAAGACAGAAGAATTTCCTATCCCCTTTTCCTAATTTCATCATAATTAAAATGTATTAAATTATTTTATTTTAAGGATTAAATGTATTAAACAAATAAAATATTTATAAATAAGTAAATCTAATAATGTTATTAATAAAAATTAGCTGAAATTACATTTATAAAAATATTAAATATAATAAAACTTTTGCTTTCCCAAATGCCCACATATTAAAATGTATTATATCTTGATTTTCCTCATCTTCCTCCCTTAGCTTCATTGCTAATGGAAAAAGTTGATTTGATATAAAGTTCATACTATCAGGGCACAAAATCTCATAATATACATCAATTGTGACTTTGCAATCTTCTCCCGTGCATATTTTCCACCAACTATTACATCTTGAAATTTTCTAACACCAACATTAATATTTGTATAATATTATGGTTTAACCTCCCATCCAATTTTATAACAATTACGTGAGATAATAACCCAATAAAGGCAATAGAGTAGTCCCAAAAAGGTTGTTAAATATAATAATTTCATTACCCTGGCTTTGTCTCTCCATTTAGACATTTTAATGGACTGTGGGTTTAATATTTTATATTCAATTGACATACTTATACAAATATTTTTTTAAAAATAAAACAATTGTTAAAACGAATGAACGTATATGAGAAATTATTTAAAATAATGAGTGCTTGCTAAACGATAGAGGTGAACGCCTATTCGACATAAAAATTATTATATTTTTTCATATATATTTTAAATATTGTTTTTCATCAGGCTGCGTCCAAAATCTTAAAGATATAAATAAATAAAAAATAAATTTTGAAGAAAAAAAATAATATAAGCTATTTTAATGTAAAAATAAAATGGTGTCCAATTTCATTTTTCATATTAAAAATTAGTAAGTACAATTTTTGATGCTGTTAATTTTTATAAATTTATTATCCCAAACGATTATAGCCTTTTACATCAATATATTTTTTAGTGTCAGAATATATATGGAAAGCATAAGAGTGCACAGGAACCTCTGGTGTAAAAATGACTTAAAATTCTTAGATTCTGAAGAAAATAGGAAAAATATTCAAATATTATATAATAAATAACAGTAAGCGTCAAGTTTAGTACTAGGGAAGAAATCAAAAAAAACATTTTAATTTTAGTCAAACTCAAACCATAATTGATTTATAAATAAGTGGTATTCGTCTTTGTTTTTGAGTAAAAGGATCAAGTACTGCATTATAAAAGTTATCGCTAGATTTTAAATTTTATAATAATTTTTTTTCAATCGAAATCAAAGATATATTTGATAATCGATTTTGGCGCATCCTGTTTCTGCAATAAGATTTGATTTTTTTAAAGATGAAAAACTCTGTTCTGCACTTGCTGTTGTTGAAGCCAAAGTTAAGATGAATTTTCATAATTTAAAAAATTCTTTAAAACTTTTCATCAAATCGGTGCATATAAAAATTCAAGTATTTCATTAACATTCTTTTTCTTTCTAAATTAAACATCCGAAACACAACCTTTAATTCGGTTTCCAGCTTGTGTAAGTCGAAAAATTGAGAATAAGTGTCGTTTAAATTATCTAATAAATATTTTGGAAAATTTTGATTATTTGGAATATACTAATATCTAACAATTCGACGAATTTAATATTTTTTGGTGTAAGACATATGAAATAGAATTAATCAAATCATTTTGAATATTGCTTGATAGTCCAATAAAAACTGCATTATTTCTTAATGATGTTTCAATAGTAAATTTTCTTCCGCGAGCAAATAAATTAATTCATTATAATTTCCTCTATTTACTGAATTAGAAGATTCATCAACACCATGGAATACGAACTCCTGAATTCCAAGAAAACATATAGAGTTGATCAATATTTTCAATATTTTCCTATCTGATTTGACTTTAGAATTATGATGTTCGATTAATATTTTGCGCATCGAATCTATCATATTTTCAATATGATTTTGGCCAAATGTTTTTAATTGAATCATCGATTGCAAATGAGCGATTGATTCTTTGCCGTTTAACTGCCTTTGAAAAATTATTCATATCCGAAAATCCTTTATCATTCCAAACATATTTTTCCTCTGGGAATAATAGGCATGACCAACAATATAGAGAATTAGAAAATTCACATCCAGTGAACGATTCATATTTATCGATAAAATTAAGGATGCAAGTTTTGATTTCTTTTTTTAAGTTTTGTAAAATTGGTTTTGGTCTTCCTTTTTCAATAATCAATTTTTTCGCATCAAAATTTCTTGAACTAAATGATAATGTTAATAAATTTTCAATAATACAATAACAATTATTAAACATTAATTAAGGATTTTAAAAAAGAAAAATTTTTTATTTAAAAAAAGTAAGGAAAAAAATATTATATAAAAAAATTTGTTTCTCTTTTATTTATTAAAAAGATAAGCATTTTTTTATTTGCTTCCCCAATGCTTATTTTTTAATGGTAAAATTACACAATACCATGGCGTGATTTTCTCTTTATTTATTAAAAAAAATAAGCAATATTAAATTTGCTTCCCTTATGTACAGGGTTGCCAGGTCACAATTTTCAAATTGCGGGAGAAATTTGGTATTATGCGGGAGAAATATGAAAATTGCGGTAGAAATATAAAAATTGCTAAAAAAAAAATTTGCGGGGCTTTGGCCGGGAATTTTTAATATATTTTTTAAATTATAAAAGCCATCAATTGATGGTTTCTGTTCCAAGGTTATAATATTTATACATTTGTAAATAGAGTTATTATAATCAAATTTTGATTGTAAATATTCTAAATTTGTCTTAATAAAAATACCTGCTTCATTTAAAAATGTATTAATTAGAGTATTATTTGAACATTTAATATAATATCTTTAGCAATAGCGCCATAAAATTTATTATCAATTTTTAACTGTAGAAATGAACAGAGCTGTAGCATGATTTTGTGAATCTTTTTTAATAAAGAATATTCTGATTGCAACTGAATATTAACTGCATGAAGTAGATATCCTGCATGTGAAATGAATCCCAAATATGCTTCTGCTATTTCATAATCGAAAAAATTTTTCAAAATTTTAGGACAGCTTTTAAAATCTTTATTTAAAAAGTATTTTTTTAAGGGTTTGTAAAATTTTAAAATTCTATCGATGGCAGGTATTAATGACAACCACCTGATAGGTATATATCGCAACAACTCACACCATTCCAAGTCATACCACTTCACCAACTCTTTTAATTCATTAACTCTTTTAGTTGATGAATTAAATTCGTTAAAACATTTCATCACAATTATTTCGACATCCACAGATAGTACATTCATTGTCTTCTTGCAAGTATTATGTAGTATATGGCATATACAGCCAATTAGTATCAATTCAATTTTGTGCTGCCTCAATTCAGTAACGTTGGTTTTTGCCAAAATTTACAGAGACATTATCAGCACAGAAAGCTGACATGCAAATCATTGATAACCCTGAAGCAGCTATATTTACCATTAAGTGGCTAGCTATATCGTTGGATTTTTCACTATCCGAGGAAAAATTTTTAACAGTTTTATTGAAATGTTTTTATTCTTGTTGAAATAGCGAAGGATCGAGGGAAATGTTTTAATATTTCCCTTATTAGATGCATCTGTGAGAATTGCATATGGATGCCCATCTTTCAAATCATCTAGAATTGACCTCTAGGATTCAGATACTAAAACACTTGTGATAGCTTGCTCATTTTTGTTCTGCCACAAGTATGGTTTGCACTTATATAGTTGTTAAATATCATGAGAAAAAATTTGACCCACATTGTGATGATATAGCTCTGTGAATGTTAAACTACATGATAGATGTATACGATTACCGCAAATGTAGTTGCATCTGTATTATTTATTATTTTTGAGAATATTTTTGTATTGCAATCGATGTTGATATATTCCCCTGTACTGACTTATATGAATGAAATGATGTTGATTTATTATTGGATAAAAATAAAACGATAGAAAGAAATTTACAAATTAGACATGTTTTTCGAATAAATATTTCAAATTTAGTTTGAATATATAAAATAATCAATTAATGTCTCTCAAAATCATTTTTATATATTAAAAACGTTAAAATACTTTTAAAAAAAATTGCGGAAGAAAATAAAAAATTGCGGGAGAGAGATGTCTGCATGTAAACTAAAAAATTGCGGGAGTCTCCCGCTGATGGGGGGAGACATGGCAACTCTGCTCATGTATATTTTTTTTAACGTAGTAAAAATAATAGTAACTTTTTTAACGTAGTAAAAATAATAGTAATTCTTAATATAGTAAAAATTATATTAATTTTTTTAAAAATAATAGTAATTCTTAATATAGTAAAAATTATATTAATTTTTTTAAAAATTATAATCTTTTTAACGTAATCTTTTTAACGTTATAAAAATTATATTAATCTTTTTAACGTTATAAAAATTATAATAATCTTTTTAACGTTATATTAATTTTTTTAACGTTATATTAATTTTTTTAACGAAGTCAGTTTAGTTTTTTTAGCATAAAGATTATATTAAGTTTATTTAAAAATTTTGTAAGAAAAATTTCAAGGGAAGCAATTCTTCCCTTGCTTTTATGGACTCTTCGTCACTGATAAAATGATAAACTATAGCAACATTCAACTATAGTTAAAAGGGAAAAGCTATAACTGTCTTGTATAGTAATTAAAGGTACATTTAAAAAATTTCTTTTATTTCTTTCATGATATATGTCTAAATAAAAATATTTATCAAAAATATTAACAACATATTAACCTAATTCTGGTATAGTGCACCATTTGAAAACTTTATACAATTTCAAATTCCCAATTTAACATGGACATGATATGTATATTAAATAAGACTTAACGTTTCAAATCGCGTAAAGAGATTGTAGAGGTGAAAGAATCTATTAATTCATGTAGTAATGCAAGATTAGAATTTTAAGTATCGTGCTATGTTCTTCACAAAATAGCAAAGTACCAAAAATACTTATCGAGGAATGATTTAAATTAATTTTGGGAAAATATAGTGTATATTAAATACAATAAAAAAGTATTTGAATACGTAATATATATGAGCAATTATTTTTATTTTATTAACTCATAGTTTATAATTATGTAATTTAGTAATTTTTTTATAGACTTAAACTGGTGTTAGAACATATGAATTAATTCAACTGGCCAATTAATTTAAACAAATCTTTAGGCTTGCATAAGGTTATTTTGGTTTATAGTTACAGAAGGAGGTGCTAAAGCCAATTTATTTTAAGTGTTTATCAACTTTTTACTACGGGAGAGGGGAGGCTTTGCCCATTGGCGGACCATCCACCGTTTTTCTCTGGCGTCGGTCGGGTTTATATTTATATAATTATTTTCCATTTAATTGTATAATACAAGTATTAGCTAAACAATATAATTACCATCATGACTAATAAAAAATCCTCAAATGACTTGCTAACCTATAGCCCTCATCCACATATTTCTAAATTTGTCATCTATCGTGACTATGGCTGCTAAGAGTGTTATTAAACGGTCCGATTAGGGTCGATTTATAAAAACGGTCTTATTTAGATTTTAGACAAAATAATATTATACCCGGAGTTTTGCTGATAAAAGGCAGAATGGTTTGGACCCCTATTAAAAAATATCGAGGCTTAGATAATATTATTTTAGTAAAAATCTTAATAGGGGTTGTTTCAAAGATTGGGCCAAACACTAGCTGCTAGCCCATAGATCCATTGTAATTCTTTAAATTATGTCCCAATTAAACTAGATTTTTAATCAATATATACTTTTTTTTCTATATTATTTACAAATTCATATGCATTTTTCGACAATTTTCCTGGTCTCATACCTATATTCTAATCGTGATTGCTATATAAATCTTTAAATAATTTCAATTTCTTTAATTTAATTTTTACAACATAATATCAATTTTTTCCCAAAGTCAACTAATTTCCACAAATCACCAAATTATTCCCCAATTTCATAATTGTTTCAACAAAATCAATAATTATTTCAAATAAATCCCAAAATCATTATTAAATTATTATCAAAACATAAGATTTCAAAATATTCATAACATAGAATTAGTATAACAAATTTCAATCATTCTTAATACAACATTTCCCAATTTCTATAATTATTCAACAACATAATAATTTAAATTTTATCATATTTTCCAAATTAATATCCAATATGTATACCATTTCAAGCGATATCAATCTCCCAAAATTTCCATATATATATCAAATTAATATTTATATCAAAATAATATTATTCCAATCATTTTCATTTTTAAAATTGTGCTCAGAATTTACTTCATTCTTTTGCAATTTCATTCAAATTTGTTAGATTAAACCAGCACCACCAATCATTTTGTATTTAAATCCCCTAACCAGTTGCCATATAAATAGATCTATATTTTTATAAAAATCAAAAAAAAAATTTTATAAAAAAAATTGTGCTATTTGAGCAAAATAATGAGCATGTTTAATTAATAATTAAATAAAAATATTCTTATATATAAAGATTAGTATTTTCCAATGTCTATATTAACATTAACCCTAATCTTTGTTGCATCCTATACTAACCGCATCCAGTTCACATGGAATCAGGCTTTATCCTCAGTCGCATAGTTCGGTAAACATTAACAGAAACTTATTGGTTGCTTTTAAACATTACGCGTTGTTCGGTAGAACCTTAAAATGCTTATTAGCTCTTCGCGCTGCTCAGTAGCTCTAAGTATCTTTTACGGAATATAGTGTTTTTTATTTAAACATTCTCAATATATTTTGTCACAATACCAATCCACACACAATTCAACGGAAGGAATCATAATAATGGGTAATGATTCTATTATCACGAGTGTTAGGGAGCTAGTCTTTACAGGTACTATTTTATTTAAATTAGGCTTTCATTTTATAAAATAGGGTGCTAATACATTTCCCAAATTGTTTTTAACTTTAAATAAGTTGGTGCTTTTGGCACCCAAAACACTAGTTAGCGATGCCCCTCAGTGCTATAGTTTGATATAGAAAATATTTTCATAAAAATTGATAGTACTATTTAGCAAAAATTAATAAGTTTTTTAAAACCTTATATATTTTAATTTAGTCTATTAGATATTGGCAATGTGTTATTTTTTATTTTTTGAGTTTTTTAAATTTAAAAATCTGATTTTACCGGAAATGTGTTCCATCATGGAATACCTTAGAGATCTGCAAAGTTAAGCCTGGGCCGGGCCTAATTCTATTTAAAATAATCGGGTTCAAGGGCCGGGCCTAATATTTTTTAAAAGAAATTCGGGCTGGGTCGAGTCGGACCTTGGAAATTTTTTTAAATATATCTTAATTTATCAATTTTATATTGAATTTTTTATGTAAAATAAAAATATTTGATTTTATTCCATGAAACTAAACTACATATAACATATGTTTTTTATTTTGATTAATTATAAAAATTAATTTCTATATTTAAATAAATTCGGGCCGGGCCGGCAAACTTTTTTAAACAATATTTCTGGCCGGGCCGGGCTTGAAAAATTAGGCCCGATGCAGATCACTAGAATGCCTATCCTATAAATTTCAGATAATTTTGTATTAAACTTTTGAACTTAATATATTTTATATTCTCGTTTTTACGAAATTTTTTTATAAATTATAAATGCCTCAAAGGTTAATGTCAATTTAAAGAAACGCGATCAAAAAATGATTCAAAATTCTTATTAGCAGTGAATTTAAATTGCCATGCACATAATCTTTTGGTATTTATTTAGTGGATTAAAATCAAAGGGACCTTAATATAGATATCTTGGCCCTTTAAGAGTTATTTATTAAATTTTTAAAAGGTTTATGGATAATATTTGCTGTTTTTTATCTAAAACTTATTAAATATTGTATTGAAAATAAAAAACTGCAGTAAATTTTTTTGGCCTAAACTTTAAGGCTAGGGTATATTACGGCCTATGGCTCGAATTATTAAAAAAGCTTATAGGGAATAAATCAATCTTTTTTATTTTTATGGGGAGGGGAAACATAAGTTGATTTTCTTCAAGATCTTTATAGAATATCGTTTAGATCACCTATTTCAGGCCTATGGTTGCAAATATTAGTTTCCCATTTTTTTAAATAAAATGTTTTTTCTAAAAAATTTGAATAATTGTTTTAAAAAATAATTAACTTTTATATATTTTTATTTCAAATAATTGTTTGATATATAGCATACAATTTTGAGGGAGATAGTAGTATTTTATTATCTTAAAATGACATTTAATAGAACAAACAAATTTCCGAATTCCCTTTTTGCCCCTCCCTCTCTCCAACTTCTATGATTTTGATGTTATGGTTAAATCTAAAGATTTCTTACTTACAATTGGGTAGTTCATGCTTTTACCTCAGATTCTTTCAAATGTGTTTGCATATATATATATGCTAAAAAGTTTAACTTTCCCAAAGTATAGATTATGCAAAAATAACTCATATATTTAAATATTGTTTGACAATTTATATATTTCAATTAATTTTTCCTAATATATATTCTCAAATATTTAATAGCTATATTAATAATTATATCTGTATTTCATCGATATTATGGCTTTAAATAGCTTAATTTCAACAAAAAATTATCTTCTATTATAGCAAATAAATTAACTTTATCGATATTCAAGGACTTTTACATTAAAAATTCATAAAATATAAAATAGATTTATTTCGAATACTAAGGTTTTCACCCTATATAACCTTTGAGATTAGACATATCGTTAATAAATAAGGTTAAAACACCCCTTACAATTTTTTGCTATTGATATTTTGTAATATTAGTATTTTCTCAATCACAGCGTTAAAAGCGATATTATTCAAAATCCAAGAGATCTTAAATTTAAAATTATTTAATATTCAACGAAGATGTGATAAAATTGGGCAAGTAACTATCACATACGAAGCTTGATAAGTTCATTTTATAACGATGGTGATGGCGCAATCTTTTATTTTTTTTATCAAATTTTTATCAAATATTAGTCCGTCGCTTTCTAGGCAACAATATGCTAGGAATCCAATTATGAGAACTGAAGGAGTGTGTATATATGCCAGGAATCCAATTATGAGAACCGAATGTGTTTGTAGATACGAAAGAAAGGCATGCTGTAGAAGGCGAACAAGAGATGTTTTCGGTATTAAAGATACTTCCATCTGTATTAGGACTTACTATGGCATCTCCGCCGGACACCCTTGAATCTCCATTTAAATTTTCTTGAGAAGAGTTGGTCTCAATTCTGGGAGTCACAAATTGTCCCAACATATTGAATTCGGGTAGATTGGTTGGATTTAACTCCAAATTTAGATTACTGAATCGATTCCTCACAACGCCCCCATTCCCTTCTTCATTATTATTAGACGAATTCGGGTCGGAATCGGGGTTATTGTCGTTTACGTCATTCAGATTATCGTTGTTTGTAATGGGCTCGTTGTTACGGTATGGTCCGAAATGGTATCGAAGGATGTTAGGCAGCTCGTAATGATGAAAGAAGTATATCATCGAATGCTATATTATATTTTTAAATGGTATAATTTCAATTTAGTTTGTAGTAGGGGGGAGGGCATATTGGAATCTTTAAAATTTAAATTATCTCTAGCGTACTTCTTTTTTTTTTAATTTCAAGAGATCTGATTTTAGCGGAAACGCATCCTGCGAATAATTTTATATAATTTTGACGTGAACTTTTAATCTTAATTTTATAAAAAATGCAAATTCAGCAAGGTCAGCTGCAAAGGGATTTTTTCGCTGCCCGAGCAAATTTAAAAAATTTTCGTGTCTCCGAGCTTAAAGAGCACCAATTTTTTATTTTATTTTATTATTAATTATTCTTAAATTTGGATCCAATCTAAAATAAATATAAAAATATGAGGCTATTTAATTGAATAGATTTTAGATAAAACAAAAATTATTGAATAAAAATATTTTATAATTGTTATAGCAGATCAATATTCTGGATTTTTGGCTAAATGTTAGAATATACAGTTCGATGAATTGAGGATATTTCTAATATTTAATTTGAGCCTCGTGTCAGGCTGACTCTTACAGCCTAGTCCGATAAAAAAGTCTTCAACGTCTGAAGCTTGACCCGGCCTCAGATCGGGTTTGGACAGCCCGTGCAGGGCCCTAGGGCAGGTACTCAATGCATGATAGATTAAGACTTTGATGGGATATAAGTTTTGAAACCTGCTGAATGCAGCAGTCTTGAAATGTGCTAAATATCTATGAAATATTCACAATAGTTACCTAAAAAAAAATTTTCTATAGAGGTTGATGCTAAGAAACACGATACCAAATTTTTTATTTCCAAAAACCTCAAGAAATTGAACACTAGGCGGGTACATACTTACGTGCCCAGGCCTTATTTAATATGTAAAGAAAAATGAGAGATTATAAGCGAAATCTAATGATTTTCAGAGTAGATAGGTTGTCAATCATGTTCTCCAAACCAAATATATAAATTTCCAAAAAAGGCAAATTGCATATTTTTCTTACTATTAATTAAATCAAACCAAACAAAAATCATAATATTATCAATTGCCCAAATTCTCCCTAGAATAGTAAATGAATTTTTCACAATTCATAACTCCTACATAAAACATATTTGGAGGAAGAGTTAATAAATTATAAGATAATAAATGAAATTAGTTGAGCTATATTGATTTATACTAGGTATATTTGTCGTGATTAAGGACATTTTGCAGGGATTGGGTTTATACTAATTTATAAAGGAGGTGATGCATTATTGTGATGTAGGAAGTCATGCCATGCTGAGTGGTGATCGAGGTGGTGGATAAGAGAATTAGGGATATATTTGAATGGTTTTAAATTTCGAGAAGAGACTCATCCATTTTTGTTGCGAAATAAATACAAGATAAATATTGATCAAAAAGAAACACCTCATTTTATGCATTTGGCAGAATGTTGCTTGAGATGACAAGCTAGGGTGTAAAAAAGTTAAGATAGCTAGTGCTGACATGGTCGATATACGAGGAGTCAATTAGGACATCTGATAGATGAGGATAATGGAAGTTTTAAAATGAAGGTGAGGTTACACCAATGAAGTAATTAGTAATGGGGGGGGGAGAGGGGAGTCCAGACCAAATATTGAACCCTCAAATTTTTTTGATAATACAAATTTTGAAACAAAAAAATAAAAACATATATTGATTTTTAAAGAATTTTTTGAGTACCGATCGGCAAATAGAAGTCTGCTGGGATGCAAGTAATGCTGTTATAAACGGATCGACTTAGCCATTTTAAATAAAGAATTTAACTAATATAATATTAAGCAGACCTCGAGATTTAGTTAATATATGACCAAACCTTTCTTTCATCTATAAGCAAAATCTTCAGGCGTGTGTAATATTTTTTGGTTAAAATATTAGGTTCCGTTTTTAAAAATCTAGCCGTTTAACAATAATAGCACCTGCGATGTATCTCAATTCAGTTACTATTTATTATGTGACTAAAATTATGAGAACTATCATAAGAAATTGCTTGTAACAAAAACTTCTGCATAAATTTAAGGGTAAGGTAAATTCAGGAAAAATATCCCGGTGGTTATTGCATGAGAAAAATGTGGCGTAGCAAAGATGATGCAAGAAATTTATCTAAATGTATGCTATTTGAAGAGTTCGCAAAAATATATTAGTGTGAAGAGAAGTCTGCAAGCGATGTGCGTCAATTAAAAGTGTGTGAAGGGTAAGAAGGGCGCTAGTGTTCTTGTAAATAAAGCTTTTAATTTCCATAATTCAGCTTTTCCATGAGAATGTCCTGAATATTCTAAAGTAATTAAGATAATTTTAACCCTTTGACTAGCGGAATTGTTTTATTTTTTAGTTGATGTTTAAAACTAATGACCAATTTTCTTTCAAAAGCAAATATTTTATACAATTAGTAGGTTCCATCACACAATTCCTATGTAAAGGCATATCTGTACAAGGTAAGTAGGAATGGTCGGTATATTATCCCTTGAATCTATGTAAATTTTTAAAACTTGTATAAAAAGCCAAGAAGTAACGAAAGCCAGTATATTGTATTGTCCATTGAAACGATAGTGGTAAGCGTAAAAGATGTAATGGTAAAGGTAGAAAAATCTTTAAAAAATAAAATAATACAGATACTAAATAATTTTAGAATTGGTTTTGTAATAATGCAATTTGCCTATTTAAAAAAACTAAATTTATTGCTATATTTAAAAATAAAATTTAAAAATCGTTATTCCTAAATTTTAATATTATTTTTATAATATTAATAGATAATTTTAAATATAACTATTTTAAGAACTATTTTAATACATAGCATTTATAAAGATGTTAAGTTAGTTAGGGTTTATTTAGCGTGTAAACTATTGTGTTATCGTTACTTTTTAAAGATTAACATTATCTGAACAATAAAATGGTAATATATTTTATATTTGTTTAAAGTAACGAATGGAGTTATACAAATTAGCAGTATTTTTTAATTTTTTATTATTTCTTAAGACAACCCCGTGACAAATAAAATTGAGTACTTAAAATAAAAACAATAATATTAAAACTTAAATAAAACTTATTAAAATATGAAAATTCGTTCCTAAGATTAGGTAACCTCTAGTAACATCTAATTTATTTAAAAATTATGCCATTTGAAATGTTGGCGTGTCTTTAAAAACGACCAATGTAATTAAGTCCAGCTCTCACTTCCAATACTGAAACCATATTGTTATTCAAGGAAATGGGAAGGGGGCGCAATATATACAAATTTATTTCAAACTTGAGCCAATGTTTTTTAGAGAGATAAGTCACACAACAAATAGAATCGTATTGGTCGGCCAGCCATACGACTAATATAATATAAAAGGTTGTGGTGGTGTCGTTGAAAAACTCGCCCATCACTGACTCCAGCCCTAAGAATAATATATTTTTTTTTATTATAAATTAAATATATTCTTAATGTAGGGTGGGGGGAATAAAATCCTAAATTCAATAATCTTGATTTTTAGAAGCAATAACGTGTCAAAATAATTTAAGTGCATGATATTGGTCAGATACCTTTTTTTCTAACAAAAATCCAATATATAGCCTGACCCGTCCCAGATATCTTCTTTATCCTAGTGTAGTTTTTATATATTTAAGCCCGACTCGCCTGTATTATTAATTGATAAATTGATCCAATTTTATTTAAATGATAACATGGCGTTGTGGATCAGGTCCAGGTTGACAGACCTCTGGTATTTTAATCAAAAGGAATATTTATTAAGTTATATACTCGATGATTAGAAATAAAGTTAAATAACAGCATAGTTGCAACGAGTTTAACAGGTTAAATACTATTATGCAAAAAGATAATATTTTTATATGGTATAATTATGTAAGGCAGACATATTTTAAAAAAATTAATTTTTAAAAAATTTAACCGACTATGGCTAATACACCGGTTAGCAACGAGGCCATGGGAAAACTGAAGTTAACGTTATTTTCTAGCATTTGAAAAACTTCAACTATAAAATAAAAACAAATAATTTTTTTAATCGTATAATATCATTTCATGATATCCTTACATCATATATATAATGATTAGTAAATACCCAGAGAACCTCGGGGGCAATATTAAACTGAAAAATATAACCAGTTCTTATCACCTTTTACCCCAATTAATTCTATGAGGTTCACAATGGTCATATTCTATTTTTGACATAAAAGATATTTATCAATTAGAGACCTACAGAGGTACCATTTACACGGCTTGGCCTGGGTTTTATATTTATAGGCCCGGCCCTGTTTTTTTTAAAAAAAAATCAGGTTTACCCGTATTTTAAAAAAAATATATTATATTTATTTTGATTTTTTTTAGCTAATAATGGCGATATCAAATATTTGATTTAAAATATACGGCCTGGCCTGGGTATTTAAAAAAAAATTAATTAAAATATGCCAGGTCTGGCTTAAGGGCAGGCCTGCAGGTCTCTGATATCAATACAATGAAAATAAAACTGTATCCAAATCATCAAAAAATTTAATTTTAAAACTTCAAAATATTATCGAAAAACATAAAAATAGGCTTTTATTAATTAAAAAAATAAAAATGTGTCCTTACTTAAAGTTTAAAAAATTTGATACTATTTTGAGACACAGTTTTACATCTTTTTTTTATAATAAAAAAAAATTTACTGATAAAAAGGAAGAGTTGTTGATGGGAATACCTCAATATCATTGATATGATTATTGTCTAAAAATGGTTAGTTTATATTATATATAATATAAGGTTTAAAAAAGTGTATTATAAATTTTTTTAAAAAAAACTTCGTCTTAAGAATTAATTTAAGAATAATAAAAAATAACAGTTTAATTTTAGAATAAGACATCATGAGGTTAGTATTTATTTGACGCAATTCCAACATAACTTTAAAAGTATAAGTAGTTAAAGTTAATTTTTATATGCATCAATAAAATAAAATTGTCAGTGCTAAGATCAAACTAATAATAAGTTGGAATGAATAAATTATGTAATGTAAATTAATGATGAAGTTTATTTAAAATTTTATATTTAAGTATAATATACAAATATGAGCATGATGAAGAATGCGACAATGTAAGCAGTGCGAGCTGTAAACATTTTAACATATCGGTAATGCTGCCCAGATATTACATTGCAGAGATAACCTAATAAGTTTGTTAAAATATATTTTATTTATTTCATTTTCATCTCTTTCTTTTTGTTTTTTTCCTTTCAATTTTTTATTATCTAATGTTTTAATATAGATTGTAACCTTTATTTTCCTCAATTTCTGCTATATGCTTGATGCTACCCATAAGAACACCATCATATCCATGAAAATGTTCAAGCAAAAAACGAGTGAATTTATTGCCAAAGCATGAATGTTTGTCTGGATCTTAAATATTTAAATTTAAATTAATAATCTATATAATTTTTCATAATTTCAAGAAGGAAAATATTCAATTGATTGCAAAATATAATATCAGTAACTTTGTTTGATTTGATTATATATATTTTAACAATTATAAAATATTAATGTTCAATTTGTTAATTATATATAAAATCTTCATTAAACTTCTCTTTTTTTTACCATATCTTAATGGAAATAAAATGTGAGAGAGGTTAGATTTATTTTTGAAATATATATTATCATGATATTGAAATGATGTCAAACTAAAATATAGTTTATAATATAAAAAAGACCTAAAGTTACTACCATAACAGATATATTTAATCTATTTCTGGTTGCAGGTGATAATCTTAAAAATCCATATTCTAAAGAGTATTCCACTATATATTCATCACTTGGCCAAACTAAATATTTTTATATTATTAAAATTAAAATATATAATTATATTCTAATACATTTTGAAAATTTACATAAATATAACTGTTACTTGTTTTTAAAAATAATAATAAAGTTGATAATGGTTGATCTAAAGGTGGCCACACATCTAACTTTCCTTTCTCTATATTTGGAAGGTTATCATTCTAAAAATTATTTCATAAAAAATATATACTTTTTCCTTAAATTATTTACTTTAATAGTACTGTTTTCTGCTTCAATAATCCTATAATTCATGATAGGTTTTTCATCATCATCATATTGAGATCCATTTTTATATATCATATGCAATATCTCTCTTTCTCTTCTATATGAATCATTTATGCTATATCTAAGATAAAATAAACAAGCATAACATTAATCACTTATAATTATCAGGGGCATTTTTAATAATTTCAACTCTTAAGATTCCATCTCTAGGCCATTTATCTATAACATGATCTAAACAGCCAACATGTGATTTTACGAATTTTATGTGGATATACGAAAGTACAGATAAAGCAACTATTGCCTATCATATAATTATATGAAAAATGATAGCAAATAAGGATTACCTTGATTAAGACAAGAAATTCTAGTAATCTTCGATAATTTAATGGAACATTTCTAGCATATATAATAGCAAATCTAACAAACAGTGTATGAAACAAACGATCTCGTACATTGATCACATTTTGATTAACCTGATTCGTGTTTTGAAAATTTTGAGACATTTAGCAAGCATTTAATGCATGACTGCACTATATAGATTCTGAATCATATGATTATTAATTTTATTGATTCATTATTTATTTATAAGCAAATCTTTATAAATAACAAAAGTTTTAGGAAAATTTTAAAGCAGATTCAAAATTTACTAATAGCTCTACCTAGCTCAATTCAAGGTTTTAAAGGAAATTTTTAATTTAATGAAATATACTAATATTTTATCAGAAAATAATTATATAATAACATTAACAATAATTTTACATTCCCTATAATAATCAATTGAACATAATCTTACAATAAACATATTTATATATAAAAATTTTTAAAATACCCATAAAAAACAAACTATTTAAGCAATGTAAGCTTGACTTAATGATCCATGTATAAAAATGCAGCTATTGCAATTAGTAAGGAACAAGATTAAATGTTATAATATAGGGGTTAGGGTCAATCAAAGAACTAAAAGATATGAGTTTAAATGACATTATGTGGTTTAGGATATTTATTAAATTTGATTTTTAATCATTTCTTATTGTAAATCTAACTAATCACGATATCAAAGAAACACTTGTAGAAAATAATATGCCAGCGGTTGTAACGGTAATTTCCTTTAGCTAGACCTCTCTGAATAATTTCTTTCGTTTCCCTCCATATTTTAAATCTTTTAAAAAAATAATTCCCTCTATCTTGTATCCTAAGATTAAGGTCAATTGCTACAATAAAGTGAATACTGTTTTAAATTATGTGTAGTTTGGGAATCCTTTTAATCTTAAAGAAAATATTTGGCGGGGAGATCCCTACTCTCCACTCTGGTTTTACTTTCAAATTACTTTAAAAAATATGATAAATATTTTTATATATATAGATCTTTCGTTCTTTTTCTTTGATTTTATAATAGAGGCATAGTATTGTTAAATGGCTCGTTTTGAGCCGATTTTTAAAAACGGTTAACTTAATATTTCGTCCAGAAAAATATTACGCAAGCCTCAAGATTTTGCTCATAGAAGGAACAAAGGTCTAGGCATATATTATCGAAATCTCAAGACTTAGGCAATATTTTTCTGGCTAAAATATTGAGTTAGCCGTTTTAAAAAATCGGCTCAAAATGAGCCGTTTAACAACACTATAGAGGCATCGATGTCTTTTTTATGGAAAAATAATAGCTAAAATTTTAAAAATCGATATATTTTAAAATTCCTAAAGTTAAGAATTTTTACCATGAAATGCGAGAAACGATAAAAGCAGAATATAAAAACTTATTAGTAAAATAATTTGAATATAATATGCCTTGCAATAAAATATGCAATAATTTTTATTTTTATTAAAAGTATTCTATAATACCTTAATGTTTATTAATATATAGGCTATAATACATTTTTCTGGGCTTCGACACATTAACAGATATTTTTCTAATTATATCATAAAAACACTGATACAACCCAATAATAGTTCTATAAATTATTTATTCATCTTCACACACTACCAAACCTTATAAAAGACAGACTTAAAAATATGGATAAATTAAAATTTCTACAACACATCAAATATCCCAACCCAATAATGCTAATGAAAGTTTCAATAAAACCTGTAACAAAATCTCCAAAAAAATAAATGAAGGCGACGTATGTGGTGCCCAAAAATTAATCTCCTCACAAACAAAACTAGCCCCATCTAATGATGCGACCCTTGAAAACCTAAAATCTCTTCATCCACGAGCTTCTTATACTAGCTTACCAAATCCTCCGCCCAATATCCCTCCTCTCACAATATCAAACCAAGATATACGACACAATATAAGCGAATTTAATAAATTTTCAGCAGCAGTAGACCTTCCTACTTCCAAACATTCCTAAAATCTCCCAATTCAAATAGTTTTTTTTAACTCATTTACAACCTTCCTCAATAATATAATCACTAGAGATATCCCCACATTAGCTCATCAAATAATATTTGGAGCAAACTTGATTGCATTTGAGAAACCTAAAGGAAGTATCCGCCCAATTGCTATCGGTTCTTTCTTCAGACGCCTGATTATTAAAATTATCGCAAAAAAAATAAAAACCGATACTCATTCCCTGCTTGGCAATTACCAATTAGGCTATGAACAAAAGGAGGTGTAAGATATAGCCTCTCACTGTCTTCGAATCTACCTACAACATCCACCTATAAACTCCGTTCTTTGCAAAATTGATTTTAAGAACGCCTTCAATACTATATCTCGTTCCTCGGCACTCAAATCCTTTTACGACAATTTCCCCCAATACTCGCGCATCGTTGACATTTGCTATACCAATAGCACTCCCCTCATTTTCAATGGTTGCGTTATATACTCCGAAGAGGGTGTTCAACAGGGCGACCTCCTTGGCCCTATACTTACCTGCTTAGCCATCCATAATATGATGAAAGATCTCAAATCTGATTTTGATCTTGACCTTAATCTATGGTACCTAGACAATAGCACACCCTGCGGTAACCAACATCAAATAAGCAAAGCCCTCTACCACCTCGAAAGAGAATGTCCCAAAATAGGCCTAGAATTAAACAAAACCAAAACAGAAATCTGCATATCAACCCCGAGATTCCCCTAGACTCATTTAAAGATTACAATATTATCGAAATCGAAGATATCCAACTCTTGGGCTTCCCACTACTTAATAATAAAATTTCGGAAAAAACTATCGATAAAACCCTCTCCGAGTTACAAAACTTGAAAAAGTTCATCAATCATATCCGATCGCACCAACTTTTTTATCTATTAAAAAAATTCCCATATTTACCTAAAATCTCGCACCTCTTCCACTCATCCTCCTCAGGATTTTTCACCCAGCATAATATTCGCTTAAAGACCTTTATGGAAAGGATCCTTAATCTTCCATTATCAGACTTTAATTGGCACCTTGCTCAATTACCGGCTAAACTTGGTGGTATCGACCTGATCCCCTTAGAATTACTCTCCCTATCTCTAATCGCCTTTCGCTCAATTCCGCGATCTCATCTTTCATAACCCTCAATGACGATCTCTTAACAGTAGCAATCGAAAGATGGAATCTATTAACCCCAGACAGTCAAACATTCCCAACCGAAATTTTTAATAAATCAATCTTGGAACCCCTTATAAAGAAACTACAAAATAGTCTTAACCCTTCCGATATCAGCGACATACAACTTCTTCAACTAAACGATAAATACGGCGGGCATGAATGGCTCGAGGCATTTTCAAGCCTAACCCTTGATAATCTCTTAACCAATGACCAACTGAGAGTTACCATAGGATTTAGACTTGGATGCTCGCTTACATATTCACACACTTGCCTTTGCAACCTACCCGTTCAAACAAACGCAAGACACGGCCTAAACTGCTCCCGCAGCCAAGGTCGCCACCTCCGGCATAAAGCTATAAATATAATCATCCATAACGCTCTTAATAAAGCTAAAATACCTAACATCCTTGAACCAACTAATCTCTCTTTGCAAGATAGTCTCAGACCAGACGGTTTAACCTGCACCCCATGGTTCAATGGGAAATCCCTAATTTGGGCCGCAACCTGTCTCTTCCTTTCCCTCATCAATTAATTCAAACACTCTTACTAGCGGGGAAAATAAAAAAATTAATAAATACTCAATACTAAATAACTTTATTTTTCAACCCATACTCATTTCACTAATGGCAATTTCTCACAATCAACATATTTTTTTTTAAAATTTTAGCATGTAAATTTTAACATTACAAACGAAAAATGCCAATCAATTTTTCTTAAACAAAAACTCCAATTAGAAATTTTTAACATAATTATACCAGTTTTTTAGGAACATTTTTACTATAAGCTCTTTTTAGAGCTATCGATATTTTTAAAATATACATTCACTTTTAATATATATATATATTCATTTTTTATTTTTATATTTTGTTTACATGTTTTAAAGATAAATGAATAATAAAAGTTTGTATCACCACAATGATAAATAAACTATTTAACAAAATGAAGAATCTAAAAAGATAGGGTTAGTAATTACTAAACAGAATTTGCCGAAAAAAGCATACCCGATAAGATTTAACCTTCATCAAGCTGTTACAGTATTTTTGGATCTAGAAGAGTTTATTTTGATTTAGATATATATTCAAATAGTCTGAACCAAATATTTTATCTGAATCGATTATATTAATTAATTATATAATTAGACAATTTTATGCTAAATTTTCCAAAAAAATGTGGTTACATGAATATATATTACAACTTATAAAACTAAAAGATGATATTAACCAATAATTTCAAGAAATTTATGTAAATGTTAAGCAGAATCAGAATATGATTTTAAGATTAGCAAGCCTCAATTTGCACCTAGGTAAACAATCGTTATAATACTAAATTGGACTCAATTGAGGATCACCATAGAATAACCGTTTTTATTCCACTTAGATATTTTTTGACTCAAATCAATGAACAATTTATAATTCATCAAATGGTTTTAACAAATTAAGAATACTATTACATAGAAATCCGTCTTATATTAAATCTTGATATTGCAATTAAATATTTTGCTCAATTTTATTCAAAGGATGCAAATCCGATAGCCAATTAATTGAAAGATTAATTTTAATAAATAATCCTCCAAGAAACGCTATGGAAACATTTCATACTTTAAAATATATTTGTAATTTTTTACAAATATATCATTATATAGTGGCAACATTACCTATTAGTATAAGTACAAATGAGAGTGCCTTTTCTTCATTATGGAAAATAAAAGGTTATGACAGAAAAATGAAATAGCTTTACTTAGCATAGATAGAGATTTAATCATAAATTACAAAACAAATTATTGAAAAATTAGCATAATTGCAAAAAAACATATTCTATATTTTATTGTAATTTACAGGGATTTTAGTTATAAAATCCCCCCTCCCCGTAGAAAATTCTTGGCTACGCGCTTGCTAAGTATACAATATATAAATTTCTTTATTTAAAAAAATGCGTAGACAGTAAAACGCAATATATTATTTTATTTTTTTAAAGCGAGTTTTTTTCTCCTTTCAATATATGTTTTCGATAATATTTAATAGCGAAATCAAGTCTAAACTTCGTGCAATTTCGCTTTTTAAAACAATGACATCGGTTATAATTCGTTCGTCAATACAATCAACATCGATTCGGAATGTGTTATTGATGCATTTGTCTAAAGAATTTTTCAAAGCTAATAATTTGTCGCCTTCTTTGCTATTTCTATCGGTTGAATTGCTAGCCCTGCTTAAATCTTTAACAATGATTGGGTTGACCGATACAGAATATAGGGACCTGAGGATACTAAGGAAGGAGTTTAACGAATCTCTATCTAACCCATATGCTTTATTAAATCATAAAAATAAAGAGTATAAAAGTAATTGTTGTATATGTCAGTTTTATTTAACATTAGTAGACGTTTGTGCCTAATTTATATTCGAAAAAAGGGTGATATTAATTTTACATTATGATATTTTTTATTATCAAGTGACTCCTTTGTATCCATTTTATCAAGGATAATTATTGTAAAATTCATTTCTGATTAAATTTTAAAAAAAATAATCAAATGTTTGGATGGATTAAATATTTTGGTTAATTATAGATATTTAATGTATATTTGATATACAAAATACAATAGTAACAACTCATAATAAAATAGTGAAATATCATTTTGCAATAATTAAAAAAAGCGATAACTATGAACAATTTCGAATTTGGATTATGAGAGATACAATTTATTCAAAAAAAAATTATTTACTTTTAGTGTTGATGTCAAAATTTTTTAAGGAGTTTCGCAGGGATTGAAGGTAGGTATGTAATATGGGAAGAATAGAATGGAGGAAAACTGAGATCATAATTTTGAGGTATTTCATGGATTTAACTAAAGTTCAAAAACATGGATTTAACTAAAGTTCAAAAATTTTTCTAAAGAAATGCTAAATATAATATTTGAATAATAGTATTAAAAAAGGCTTATATTCATTTGTTTCAGTATAAATTAATAAATGAAGAGATTATTGATTTGTCAGTATGCATTTTTCAAAATTTAAACTGCCCACTTTAAAATAAAAATAAATAAATGAAAATTTTTACCTCGATTAACATTTTTCACTATTGATGGTTTATTGTCAAAATTAAGTTTAGGCGGGGAGTCCCTTTGTTCATCGTTATCGAAGGCTAAATGCTGAAAAAAACTCAATCTTTGAATTTCGACCCTAAAGGCAGAAACTATACATTCGCAAGTGCCTTGTTGTAAATATAAACTTACCGCCTATAATAGAAAAATATGTACATTTTAAATTGAATCATATTTTACCATATTACATAATTAAATATTTAAATAATATATATTTTTTTTTAAAAAAAAAATTAAGATGTATAAATAAGGTTTGGTAAATTTTTTGCTATTTTAAACTTTATCTAAATGCAAATTAGCTAAATAAATAGGCAGCTTTTTGAGACGCTCACTAGCATTTCGTCGTTTTCTTGAAGGTATAAGGCGATTCGAGTCTTCGGATTCGGCAACCTATAAATTAATATTTATTTAGAAAAGTACTGACTAATGAGTTATAGTTAGGTGAATTAAAAATGGTGTGAAATCTAATTTTAAGCCAAAAAGTATCACCCGCTATTAGATTTTTGTTGTTATAAATACAACCTACTTTGAAGGAAGCAGAAATAACTCTGGCCTCGAATGCTTAGCTGATCTTCTTCAGAACGCACTTACTTTATTTTAGCTACCCAATTATACTAATAACTATTATCTCACCTTTACTCTGTTCCTTTTAATTACTTGTTTATAAAAAAAATTGTACCCTAAAACTTGCTCCTCCATTATATTCAAATTCGTTATTTTCCCGCGTTTCCTTAGAAATAGCGCGGGCAAAATATGCGGCACCAATTTCGTACCTTACCCGGGCGTCGTGACCTTCGGAGACTCGAAGCGCGTATTCCAGGTGATAGATGGCTGAATCTAGCGCGTGCGCAGAATTAGGAGACGATAAAAGAATATGATTAGCTAGGTCTGCACTGGTTCGCGACAAGGCATTTCGTGATTGGTCTCGTAGATCCAAGAACCAGTGTCGATCTAGAAAATTATTGTTTACATTTCAAATAAAATTTATTGCGTATTTTTTTTTAATGGCAAAATGCTAATAACTGACACAGAGGGGATGCTGATTTAGTAAAGAATGCTATATAAATAAAATATTTTTTTTCGAAAAAAATGATAAATGGGTAATGGTGGGGTGGCTATATCTAGCCACATATCTCTAAAGGAATATTACCTAGACGATTCCTTCTAATGTATACAAATCCGCAGGTGACACCCAATTTTGGTTTCCCGTGTAGTAAAATTTTATGAAACCGTATTATTTCTTAAAATTCTATTCCGGGTAACAAAAATTACGTGTCATGAGATAATTTGTATTGAACAAGGCTTCGAATCGCATTTTATCAGTCGAAATAAGCATTATATGCAGGGTTGCCAGATTCATTCAAACAAAAAGCGGGAGAACTATAATTCAAAAAAAAAAAATTTTATAACAAATATTATTAATTTTTTCCCAGGTGATGATTTCTTTAACTAAAAATATAAATAAACATAGGATTATTTTTTTTAATATAAAATTAATAGATGTTATTATAATTAGTATATTTTAAATTTTTTCAAAATATTTATTATTAATTAAATTTTAATTTTTTGTTACATATTCCTTAAAATATTTAAAAGTATTAATTAAAATTATGTTTGATCATTAATTCTGCTTCTAAATCTGATAAAGATAACCTATTACGATTTTTCCGCCAGGAATTTTTCATTAATATGCGCTCTGAATCAGAGTTTGAATGTTACAACGAAATTATAATAGTGCATATATTTTCAAAATTAACTAATTTATAATGAAACATCTCCAATGCAATTGAATTTTAGGATTGCAATTTTTTAACCATGTTGTTTAAAGTCATCCCTAAATTAATAACTAAATATCTTGGGAGTCCATATGTTTTTTAAAACCTCTGTATGTGGATCTGCTGAATTCGGCAAGCAATTATTTCTATGTCCATTGATAATGAAGCATGCCCCTTTCTTCCTGCATTGTGAATTGTATGGTATAGGTAAACTAATAGGGATAATAGTTTCATTCAAAATTAATAATTTCGTCAATTGGTGTTTCAACACAAAAAGCTGTTGCATTTAATAGTGAAAGGTTGCAATTTTCATGGGTCTGCACAAACATAGACGCAATATCCTTCTATTTCTCTGAGTCAGATGATAAATTTTTTATAAGTTTACTTGAAACACCTCTTTCTTTATTAAAATAGCGAAGCATTATTGGGAATGTTTTAATATTTCCATTATTTGATGCATCCGTTAAAAATAGATGATTTTCCTTCAAATCCTTTAAGATATGTTTCTTATGAGGCTTTTGTTCTTCTATATTTTATGCATTAGCACCTTTTGAATCAGGAAAGAGTATAGGCAATAAATATCTAAGTCAATCTGTAGATAGATAATTAAACGAATGTTTTATAGTATGATAAATGAATTGTCATCACACAAATTAATGTTTTTGAAGTATGGTTTGATTATTTGATGATATTTTTTAAATTGGAAATATGTTTTTGCCTTTGTTGAATGTTTTTTTACATCATGTACTCCTCCATGGCTGATATTAAATTTTAATTGAATTTACTTACATTCTTTATCTTTTCTGACCCATGAATAAATGCAATTCCAGTTGTTTTGATATTGCGATTTACATTTTTTTTGAATGTTAAATTTGTCTTTAAACTTTAATTTATGAATATAATTAGAAAAAAAATGAAATATCATGAGAAAATCTAATTTATTTAAACAAAAATTATTATTAGGCTATATAAAACTGTTAAAATTTTATAAATAAATTGCTTACAAATATCACATTTTATATAAACTGATTTCTAAAATTATATAAAATACTTATTTCACATTTATAAATTTTCATCATCAGAGAAAGTAATTATTTTATGGTTTAACGTAATAATTTATTTTAAAATTAAAAGATATTCAATAATATTATTATATTTTAAAATTGGAAAGTTTTGGAGATCGAAAAAAAATAATTTTTATCTTTAGAATTCCTTGTTCTTTCCTTTCTCAAATATGGATATAAAAAAAATAAACAAAGACAAGATGTCTTTTTAAATGTATGATTGAATTACAATAAAAAATGGTAGCTTAAGTTTCTGGTTAAGTTATTTTTAATTATTTTATATTTTAAAAATTTATAATAAAAAATCAGGAGAAAGCGTAAATCGTGTTTTGGCGTAAACTAAAGTAAAAAGTCGGCAAATTATGTCAAAAGCGGGAGATCTGGCAACCCTGATTATATGTCATTGAGAGCTATTAAACATATCAGAAAAAAATGATAGACACATTCTCCAAGAGAAATGAGAAACAAATATTACTTATTTGTATGTAATATAAAAGTTAATAGTTTAATTTCACCTAAGAGGGATGCATGTCTAAATATTTAATTATTAGTTTCAGTAATTATTTATGCTTGTCCTAATCTGCCTTTTCTTATCAAAATTTCAATATAGTAAGAAGGTTTGGTTTATATATATATTTTTATAAAAGGGGTGTAATAAATAGACCTATAAAGGCGTAAAATGGTAAATATCCATTAATAATTTTATAAAATATTATAAATCACATAATAAAATTAAAAATAATTTTTATTTCAGATTGAAAACTATTTATGGATCATTCGATAACATTTAATATCTTCCATTTGCAGATTTTTTCATCATTATAATAATATAATATAAAGTAAGTGTTCTAGGCATATGTTTGTTTATTTATGATTATTAAAATATTATAGATTTTTTTAATGTATTAAAATATTATTGATTTTTTTAATGTATTAAATTTATTATTGATTTTATTTTATTGGTTTTAAAAAGAAAATAAAAGTTTGAATTTTGGAAAATAAAAGAGTATCTCAAAAGTGGTGCCTCTAATTTAAAAGAAACCTGTATAAAAAAAAATTAATTCGGAACAACAATGACTACTATTACGAAACAGGCCAAAGATTTATAAAAAGGAAAAAGGAAATTCGTAAAAATAAGGTAAAAGTTTATATTTTTGTTGAAATTTTATGTATTATTGTGTATTAGGGATTTTTGTAATAATTTCGATATTGTATATTTTATCATTTAAGTCAGTTAAAATTTTTTTGATAAAGTTATTGATAAGTCTATTGTAGAATTAAAGAATTTGAAATTTGAAAATTAAGAATTTAAAATAAAAATAATTTTAAGGAAATGTTAAATCGCAAAAATATTAAGACCAACAATTATTTTGAGGTCAAAAATGTTGAGCCGTTAAAAATGTATTTTGGAATATTAGTGGTTTTTATATTATAGGTTATAATATATTTTTGGTATAAGAAAAGAAATGGAAATAAAGATATAAATCGAGTAAGAATGTTAGAGCAAGTGGAAAGGGAGAAAAATAAAAAAATTGAAGAATTTAAGAGGAATATTGAAAATTTATTTAATGAAATACATATGGTGAAAAATGAAAATGAAAAAAGGAAATATTAAAAACAGATATCGTCAGAGATTCTGAAAAAAAGGTATGTGAAATTGATATTAATAAAACAGATTTCGTTAGAGAGTCTGAAAAAAGAGAAAATGGAAAAATTGGAGAAAATGAAAAAAAAAGGAAAATGAAATTGGAAAAATGGAACATAAAAAAAGGAGATTAATATTGAAGAAATAAGAAGAGAAATGAGGGAAGAATGGGAAAATGAAAGGAAAGAGATAGAGAAAAAAGAAATGGAAGAAAGGAGGAAAAGGGAAAAAATGGAGTTGATTGAAAGGGAAAAAGAGATGTTGAGAACAGAAATGACAGAAATGAAAATTAAAATAGAAGAATTGGAAAAGAAAAGTGAAGGAAAAGGAGTGTATGGGAATGATGAAAGGGAAAATAAAAAGTGTTATAATTGTGGGAAGTTTGGACATATAAGTAGAGGATGTAATGAAAGGAGAAATCCAAATGTGTTAACTATAATTTGTAAAAGGTGTGGAAATAAAGGGCATAAAACTGAGGAATGTTATGTTCCTACGTATAAATTGGTGAATGAAATTCAAAAAGCTTGTGGAAATTGTGGAAATTTTGGTCATGGTCATGATAAGTGTTTTAAGAATCAACAAGAAGATTCTAAAGAATTTCCGGCGGTAGAATATATAAAAAAAGGGGAAAAAAATGCCTATGAAAAAAGGAAGGTCGAAGATGTAACATGTTTCAAGTGTCGTAACATTGGACATTATGCGAGAGATTGTCCGGTCACATGACTATATGGTGGACAGGAATCAATATGTGGGGTTATTGCATCGGAAAACCCAGCAGACAAGGGAAAAATTTTATTATTAGGGAATGTACTAAATATTGAAAATAATTTGGGAATTGAAGAAAAGAAAAATAGTAATGAATTAGTGATGAAAAATAAGGGGAATGAGTGGCCCAGGGCGAATATACAAATTTGTGTTATGAGTTTCGATGAAAAAAGATATTAATTATGATGAAGGTCCGCGCGCGAAAATTAATGTGGGAAACAAGGAAATTGTAATGTTATTAGATACGGGGGCAACTATATCGGTAATGGGGTATAAAGAATTTTCAAATTTATGGCCGAATGAGCAATTAATAAATGATAAAATGATAATTAAACAGTTAAATGGAACTGTAATTTCGGTTTTGGGGAAAGTGAATTTACCAGTGTTAGTTAAAGGGGTAGTACAATTTTTGGATTTGTGGATAATAAAAGAAGAGGTTGGTGCGATTTTGGGATGGAATTGGATATCTAAATTTGGATTAGAAAATAAATTTTTGAATATATTTCAAGGGAAAATGGATGATAAAAGCATTGAAAAGTTAGAAACATCCGTAAAGGAGGTGGATATTAAAAATTCGGAAAATAAATTGGTGGAAAATGAAATTTTGGAGAATAGTAAAATGGAGAATATGGAAAATGATAATCAGGAAAGTTGTGATAATGAAATAAATGGAATTTCGGAAATTGAAATATTAAAAATTGATGAAATTAAAAATTTGAGAAGTAATTCTGAGGAAATTCAGAAGGAGGAAGTAATTATAAATGAAAAAATGGATCAGGAGGAACTTGATTGTGTGAATAATAAAAATCCTAGAGGTATAATGTATGATTCAGGAATTGAGGAAGATATTGATTTGGATATTGATAATATGTCTGTTGATGTAGAAATGGATAATATTTTGGAAACAAGTGATAAAAATTTTAATTTTGAGGTAGACAAAAAGTTGATTTCAAGGGAATCGGGGTTGGAGGATAGTTATATGAGTGGTGATGAAATTTATAAAGACTCAAATTTAGAAAGGGAGAAATTACCTGCATCACAAAATTTTCCGGTGAAATTAGTAAGGAAAAAATTTGAGTATACAAGAAAATATTTGGATATTAATAAGTCGGAGGAAAGAAAGTTTGAAAGAGATAAATATCCGGTGTTAGAGATTATACCAGCGAAATTAGTAAGAAAAAAATTTAGATTGAAAGTGTGGTAGAAGGAGGTAAATTTTGAAGGGTATTATAAAATTGGTGGGGTAAAAAAGATATGGATCGCTTAGTCCACGGGAAAGAAATAGAGAAAATTAGAAGTGAAATTGGATATATATAGATATAGGTATTTTTAATTATTTTGGTAAGTGTGTTAAATTGTATTATAAGATTGGTGGGGTAAAAGGAATATGGATTGCTTAGTCCATCTCGGGTGATGATTATTATAATATTCGTTCAATTGGGTAGGGTTCATGGGAGGAAATTAAGCTGAATAAAATGGATGTAGTAACCATGAGAAGATAGTAATTTGGTATACGTGTATATATATATAATTGAATAGTTAGAAGTATGTAAAGGTAAAAGTAAGAATTATCTTAGTATATGAGATACATATAACTGAATATGTTGATAATTAGTTTGGTTTAACAAAAATGTATATTGCAGGTCATCTTTTGTTTTATTAAATATTTGTTCTTAAGTGAAGTAAAGCATATCGTGGTTAATAGTTTTTTTTTTGTGTTAAAAAAAACAGTTGAGAGATAAAAGGAAAAGTTGAAGAGGGAAATTATTTTATAGTAATGTAAATTGGGTTAACTTTTTAAATTGATAGAATGTTAAGATAAGAAATCAATTTATTTGGTGAAGAATCGATAAAGAAAAAAATAAATTAAACAACTTATGGATTATTATTGAAAAAATGAAATTTATGCAGCAAGAGGTTGATTTAAAGAAGTTTGGAAAATATATGTTTTGAAATAAATAATGAGGGTGGTGAGTGGATTAAAAAATGTTATTTGTTTATCAAATTAATTGTTTATTGTGAAAATAATAATTAAATATAAGTTGGAATAAAAAGAAAAGTTAATAAGGGAGTTTGTTAGTAAAATTGAAAAATGGTAAAGTACATTTTTTTAAAAAAAAAGAAGTTCGCGAGTCGATTAAAAAGGTATGTTTGTGAAAAATTGAAATGGTAAAATATATTATTTATTTTAAATTAATAATAAAAATAAATGAAAATTGAAGGATAGATTATTTTGTTTCAAGGAAAAATATAATCGTTGATTATGACTGAGGAAAATTCTATTTACAATGATTTCGAGAATATTACACCAATGATTCAGAATAAGCGATAATAAGACCAACTATCAAACTATCCACAATGACGCGATAAAACTTTCAAGTTCGGATGCAGCCAATCATTTAACTACCAACTTAGTGATCGATAATACGATAACTTTAGATGATGCAAAGCAAATGATCCAAAGCAAATGATCCATTATGCTATTATGTACTAACGAAATTGCTAAAGCCCGATAACTCGACGATGAAAAAATGATGAACAATACGACCGATCAATTAATGGTGTCAACAACAATATGAAAATTGACATATTACAAAGAATAATAGTTTTTTTTTAAAAAAATTTTGAATTCGTGTCCTGAGAATGCCTCTTAAAAATAAGGGAGGTGTTCTAGGCATAAGTTTGTTTATTTATGATTATTAAAATATTATAGATTTTTTTAATGTATTAAATTTATTATTGATTTTATTTTATTGGTTTTAAAAAGAAAATAAAAGTTTGAATTTTGGAAAATAAAAGAGTATCTCAAAAGTAAGGATTATATAAAAATTTAAGTCTTTCATGTGACTATACAATTGAGTTAAAAAATGATAATAAAAATTATTCAGTTGCTTTATAAACAAATATAAATTTTACTATTAGAAGCATAATGCATAAAAAAGAATGCTGTCGAAATGCTAAATTTTTTTAATCAGACACATTACCGCAAAAAATATTGTTGTAGTTTTTGGAGAGTGAGGGGATTAATGTGGCCAGCTATTTTAAAAGAAATCTTCATAAAGTATCCACATGTAATATAAAATTCGGTAAAAAAAAATTTACATGACATACATGTCATTTATTTGATCAATCAATTTCATAAAATAGATCATGCTAAGAAGAACTTTAATGCTTTTTTTTTAAAAAAAATTATAAATACTTAAATTTAGCCTTAATAACCTTTCAATTTTTCAATAACTCTTGTAACTAATACCTAAAAACCCGAAATTAAGACAATTTTTTTATATATCGCTGCCTGAATCAGATTATTCCATGTAAACTTTTTATCAAAAATGACTTTTTAAATTTATATAATTATACTATCTATTTACATAAAAAAAATCCCAGATATTTATAAAAATTAGTTAAATTATAACCAATATAAGATTGTACTATCATAAATATAGAAACTTAATTTCAAAATTGCTCTGAAAAATTTACAAAAAGTGGAGATGAAATAACCTAATTCTCAGTAGACACATGCAAAGGAAACTTTCAAAAACTAGCTCTTGTCATTCAAAATGTTGAGTAATTATATTCAGGTCAACTCCGCGTTCGCCCATATGGTAAATTATTAACTACAAGGCTGTCTTGGTGAGGGGGTATATGGTCAAAATAAATTTTTTGATATATTTACCTATTTTAAATTTATCGCTAGAGTATCCTCCTATTGCTACATCTATCCTCCGCAAAGCTGATTCGTACAATTTGATAGCCTTAAAAATATTCATTAATTTTTATATGTCTTCATTCATATTAAAGGTCTGCAAAACCCGACTCAAAAATCTAACCCAAAGACTAAACTAGGAAATTGTGCTTAATTTTTATAATTTTGACTTCCTGGTTAGGTCGGGCGAGGAATAAGAAATGAATTTAAATGCTCAGAGTGGGTCAAGGAAATGTTTATCTTCCTAAAGTAGGTCTCTTTTATAATATAAAAAATTATATAAATTATAATCAGAAAACTCTTTAATTTTTAAACAAACGCTGATTTCAAAATAAATAAACTTAAGCATTTAAAATCCTTAAAACACAGCTTTTTTATTATTGTTTTATTTTAAAATATATTTCTTTTCGATGTAACTTTTCGTAATACTATTAAAAGGGGAAATATCGTTTTACTTATTTTTAATTTTTTTATAAACTTTTTTGTAAAATCCTTCCCAATTTTTAGGAACTACGCGATTTTGTGGCAACTCGGTTGCGGCTAGATGGATGAGAGGTAGGGACGCCATATTGCAAGCGATCAACAGAGAGTTTTGATCGTCACCTAAACTCTCAAAAATAGTGGAAGCACGTGAGTAATCGTTTTCGCAATTGGCGAGAATGGACTGAATTAAATCTTTAAAAAAGATAGATAAAAATGTATTCTATCTTTTCGTTTCCACTTAAAAATAACAAAAGAAAATTTTACCATATGTTTCTTGTACGTCATGTTCATCTGATAGTTGGGCGCAATGATTTACCAGTGTTTTGCATTGATTTATCTTAGAATTTGCTAATTCGTTGAGACAATTGGCTAATTTTTTGGAAATCCTGTGTATTACGTTGGTAGGGCGTTCAAGATCCCTGGCAATTTCTAACGCCTTTTCGTAATAAGATACAGGGCTTTTTAATAAAAAATTTATAATTTAAAAACATTTAAAAAGGAACCCAAAAAATTAAATTGGTGGTATCCTATTCATCAGAGTTCTAAAAAAAATCTTAGAATTTTTGAGCAAAAATCTTTGAAGATTTGTATTCGAAGAAAAAGATTAACCTAAAAATGCCAAAATCTTTTATAATATATTTCAAGATGAAATCAAAAATTTTAAAATAAAAAGAATTTACTCAAATTTTTTTTAAAACACTGCCATTCTTCATATTATTAAATCATATGATAATTGGCCCTGTAGGGCAAAAGCATAGTAATATGAAATTTTATTTAACTCTATAAATAGGTGTTAAATCTATATTTCTAAAAATTTAGGGGCAGGACGGGCCAAATAATTTTGAAGGAAAACTGGTGTATTTATGTAACTATAAATGATTATAATTGGAAAACAGATAATAAAATATACTTAACAAGGAAAATAAGATTTAAGAAGAAGTTGATATATTAAAATCAAAAAGTTTAACTTAATATTTACGATATTTTAGTTGACAGGGTACGAGAAGTGATGGACATTCTAGTAATGCAACTTTTAGGTTCATTTGTATCTCTCCGAATAGTGTCTTCAGAAAATGTTGATAAAAACTTTTCTATAATAATTATAATTTAAATAAAATAGTATATACGCTGATAATAAAAACAAAAACGTCAAGTTAATGTGAATACACATAGTAGTTTGAAAATATTGTAAAATTAATATATAAATGATAAGAGGTCATAAAATTTTGGCGAATTTAAAAGGTATATCCATAATTTACCAATTGGTATTAAAAACAAATTTATATATATATAAAGGTGCCTTATGATACAAATATAGTATTTTCAGGTGCCTAAAAACTGAAATTAAAAAAAAACACTATATAGTTATGAAGCTAGCCAATACTCTATGCCCCCTTATTGCTTGGCTCTATCTTCCTGGCCAAATAATAATATCTAGATTTATTATTATCCTATCTCCCACTTATAATTTTGTTCATTTAAATGGATATGCTATTATATCATTGGTTGATTGTTTTAAACTATCCTAGGTAATAAATAAATCTATAATAAAATTCTTTAAAATTTTTTATACACAAATATTTCAAAATTATTTTTAACATAGCATAAGATATAAGAAATTGGTGTCCATAGAAAAATGGGAAGTTTTGGGATGAGCAATCTTTAAAGCTATGCTACTTGGAGGAGGAATCAGAATAAGCGTGAGTCAATCATAGAGTGAGTTAATAAGACAATGAAATTTTGATTTGATATGTATTACTAGCAATATTTTCAACAAAAATATCCGAAAAGGCATAAATTTATCAATAGCAACTTTTCAGGCATTTCATTAATTTGTATATGAAATGACAATATATGTAGCGAAAAAAAAACACAATTATTATACCTTTCTCTAAAAAAACCAAAGTTCAAATCGTAGCTAGATTATTATAAGGTTCTAACTCTATTTCAAATAATTCCGAAAAAAAAATTAATGACAATTGGTTTAACATAATTTCTAAAAAAAAAAATTATGAAAAGGATAAGGGTCACTGAGGATGGTATTCAACTCTGGCACTTATTTAGGCTAAAAGTGGCGTTAAAACCTAATGAGAGCAAATAAAGTGATAATTACTAAAAAAAATATAGATCATTTATATGATTCTAAAATATGAGATACTTTATTTTCATTTTCTATTTTTTGTGTAATATATATGCAAAGGGCTATTGATAATAAATTTACCTAATAACTCATCCCTTTCAACCATGGCAAAGTTTCTCTCAACGAAATTTTCATAATTGAGAGCAAATCGCTTCAAAAAATCCAGAGCCAATTGTAATGAATTTTGAAAATAATGATTGACAACCAAATTGTTATTGGTAAAATGCGGTTCCTAAAATACATCATTTTGCAAAATAATATTTCCTTAGATTCATAAAAAAAAAATTTATTTTAAAATAAACTTTATCTGGGCGGATCATGTGATCCCCAATGGATTCGTAGAGCGGAAGTAAAAACATTTTTGGTTCCACAGGGAAAAAAGAACTCTGATTCGAGGTGAGGGAATGATCAACGGCAGAGTTCAAGATTTCTTCAAGTTAAAAATGTTTTAAATAAATTTAAAAAAATTATTTTGTATAGTGGACCAGATATATTTTGTTTAATAAATAGAAGATTTCAAGATAAATCATTTATAATTACCAGAAAATAAGTCGAAATTCATCGAAATTCTATTAATAGTTATTTTTATTATAGATCAGCAAAAGTAAGCACGGCCCGTGCCCGATGCCCCTAATATTTTTTAAGTAAATTCGGGCCGGGTCGGGTCTTAGAAATTTTTTAAAAAATATCTAAATTTATCAATTCTATGTTGAATTTTTTATGTAAAATAAAAATATGTGATTTTATTTATAGAAGGTTGACGCCATATAACATATATCGTTTATTTTGAGTAATTATAAAATTAATTTCTATATTTAAATAAGGACCAGGCTGGCAAAATTTTTTTAAAAAAATTTCGGGCCGGGCCGGGCTTGAAAAATTAGGCCCGATGCAGATCACTTATTTTTATATCGTAATTATAATTTTGGTTATGAATAAAAAGCCAATTTGGCGCGAATTACGCGAGCCAAAATATTTAGTTAAGCATTGAGGCACAAGTTATTTTATTTATTATTCTATCTTCAAGTTAAGCTATATTTCCCCCATAAAAAACGCGGTTGAGAAAGTGATAATTTTTAGCCAAAAAGTAGGTTTGGTGTCATATTTTTTTAGCGGGCCACAAAAGGGAAAAACAACCCAACTTAATTTTAAATATTACTGATCCCCAGATAATTTTTTTATTATGAAATGTGATAAGAAAGCATTACGATAAATGCCTTCAGCAAAAAAGTTAAATCTTTTAAAATATTATGAAAAAAATTACTAAATGTAGAGAAAAATTAGTAAAATATCGTATATTGCTCAAATAATTTACAATTATTTTTTAAGGCCATGTCTAAAATTTTTTTTTAAAAATTCGAAAAGTTTTCTTTCACAAATTTTAAAAAAAATGTAATGTTAAATATTTGAAATTATCTAGAATAATGTTTTGGGCATGTTTTTAAATATTTAAAATAGTATTTAAGCTTCCAAAATTTGTGAATTTAATTTTTTGATTTTGGACACCACGTTAAAAAAAATATACCATACCAAAACCCGAGACCAAATTTTTATGCTCTAAAATTTAAAAAAATTATCCATGTTTGCTTAGCCCATTCTAAGGGTCCGCCCTGGGCCTAAGTGGGTATGCGATCTCTATACAATGCATCTATTCAAAAAAATAAATTATATTTGCTATACACAGGGTATTGTTATGTTATACCATAAGACTCGGCGCAAAGTTGAAGGTATTGGATGGATGAATAGAAGTTGAAATTGTCCATGGCTATGTTTGCCATAGTGACGTAAAGAAGGAACAACTTCTCCAATAACAAAGCTTGGGAGACTAAAGAAGATTTCGTTAATTGCAAATTGTTCTGTTCATTGACTAGGCAGGTTAAAGCCTTTATATATATATGTATATACATATAATAATTTTATGTTATAGAATGATGATACTCAAAAATACTTAACAAAGTTTTAATCAAATATAAAGGAAGAGGGTATATATTTTAAAAAGTAACTCGAAATGTTATTAGTTGTTTTTGCAGTTATACTCCAAAAGCTATTTAACAGTTACAGTTTTCAAAAGTAACTAATTACCGATAAACTTAGTTGTAACTAGTTAGATTAATGACAATAGTAATTTACAAACTTCCAAAACACATGTTAAAGCAGCTTCGCATCGTTTCCCTATAACATCGGAAGGGGGGAGAGGAAATTGACTCAGCAAAGGCTTATCTTCCAGGACGAGACCATTGGGACAAATCTTTTTACCACGCAAGCGCCGTGGCTGCATTAGCTTAGTCAAAGATACGCGCGCGGATTCGCGTGTAGCTATTCCTTCATTCGACTCATGTCCGATTACTTCTTTTGTGATAGTAGGGCGAGAAACACATTCCTCTTTTTTGTTCCTATTCTTTTTATTACTTTCACACAGTAAGAGAGTGGAAGGAGAAGATTGAGAAGTACTATACTCGTCATGATCAAAGGGATCACTGTTAGCTGGAATATAGGCTTCAGAAAGAGCAAGTGATGCAGAAACAAAGAGGCGCGTCCAATTTTCTCCACAAACTGTTGATGAATCAGGTGTAAAAGCGTTAAAATCCTGACGAGCAAGCTTTTCATAACGCCTCTCTGCTTTGCGTCGCTTTCGTTTAACGATCAGTGGGATGTCGTCCCTGGAATTGTTGAGCGCCTTAGTTGAATTCTTGAGAAGTCGGCGGCATTTAGTGAGAAGGGCAATGCGACTGTCTGCCTCAGAATCAGGACGGGCTAGGCGGTAAAGTAAGAAGGCAACGGGAAGTGTGTATGGATTTTTTATGTTAAACGGTTGCTGTCGTATGGAGTTAGTTGCAGCATGCTGGATAATCTGGTCTGCAGATTCGCGTGCTTGGCAGTGGTCAGGATCACGGCTGGATACGTTAAATTCTGTTATTAAACTAGTCAAGTCATAGAGCTTGACGACCTCATCGCCGGCCCCTTTAAAAAGCCAGTATGTGTGGCCTTGCTTGGCGCACTTACTTTTTACGAAGGATAACAGGTTTCGAGCCAGATCGCGTATCAAATCTGGGTTGAAGGTAGTTGGCACTTCCGATTCGATCCCACTCCCCGGCTGGTTATTAGGAGAAGCGGAGCAAAACGGAAGTTCAGGGATCTCACCTGTTTTGAACATCTCGTAACGTTTCACCATACCATCCAGATGATAACACATAACCAATTCGGGCACGTTACACATGAGATTATCGAGCCAATAATCAAGTCCAGTGAGCACGTTTATTCCAGGTTGATTCATATCCCTGTTGTTCGTTTTTAAGTTTTAATATAGGATTAATTATAAAATAAAATTGATGCTTAAATGTGTACATTTGCGATATTGTTATTCAATAGGGTAATTCTATAATGGAAGCTTAAAGAAGAAGAAAAATCTCAAAGAGTCACATAGTTTAACGAATACCATGAGCTATGCAAAACAGGGTAGATAAATTTTAATTAGTAGAGATTTCGCATTGGACTGAGATTTTACAATATAATAATTATAATCTGGCCAGATTTATTCATTATATAAAATAATAACCAAAAGCTATTATTTTTGTATAATAACGCTGCAATGTACTAGTTAACGCTAAAATATTAAAAGTTTTATTTAGTTAAGGCTATATAACCTTGAAAGATAATATGTACCCTCTTAAAAATTTTATTTGTCTAATTTTATATATATATATATATATATATATTAGTTTTGTTTAAAAATAAAAAAGTTGGTCATATATATGCTCTTTATTAATGTAATCGTAACCCATGCAAATATTGTTTTTAGTGAGATTGTTCGGGTCAGACCAAAAAAATAAGATAACAAGTTTTTATCTCCCCACCTGAAATGTTAGGCATCGCAATAACTATTTGGATAATTCTATTGTTAAAAAAAATATGATTTAACTTGTAAAATATTATGAATGAGGATTTTTTTTCGATCAATCAAATGCTTACTAAGGCGTTCTGATGAACTGAAGACCGTTTTATAAAAAAAAAGCAAATATAGATTGAAGGCAAATACAAAAAATATATTATTAAAAATAAATAATTGAACAATTAAAAGGGAAATGTTAGAAGGTAATTTCTATTAACCAATCAATCCTTCACCTTAAGAAAAAAGGGAATGGGTTTTCACGACATTGCCTAACTAGTAAGAGGTTAGTAAAACATGAGATAGCAATAAATAAATCAGTGAATTGAGTTTTATTTTTTAAATTAGCATTATTAGATGGTGCCGGTGGTAGTGAAGGTCAACGGTCCGGACCTATCGATCTTAGAACGGGACCAGACTGGACCGATACAAAGGCAGGTCTTTTATAAATAATTTGCCTTTATATTCAATTTATATAATGTAAATTTCTGTATATATTTTATTTTACAGTGTTTTTCTAAAGGAATTACTTTTTGTGATATTTTTTTCTTTTTCAGTTCATTTTTATTTAGTAATATAAGTCTAAAACAAAATGCTTGTCAAAAACGCATTTCATTTATAAATTAAATATATTCTTTGAATTTATAAAGTTAACGTAATATACTTTTATATATAATAAAATCATAAAACAAGAATTAGACTCTAGAGAAAAACGAAAACATCATAACAAATAATTAAATGACCAGTCATATCGGTCCACTCCTGACCAAAGACCTGGATCTTCACTAGCTAGTTTTAAATATATGGTAGGCTCACAGATTTAGTAATGCATCTGATATTTCAAAAAAATACAGGAATTCACTCCGATAATCAACAGTCTACATGATGGATCTTTTTTTCAGTTGACAGGCCAAGTTTACCTAATTTATACCATCATTAGGAGCATATAGGGGTCTGCAATTGGTGGGTTTTCAACCCAAGGTGATGATTCATGGTGTATTATACTGAATGATAAAATTTATTTCCACCTTCAACAGTGTTATTTTCTTATTCCTAGTTAAAATATGATGGTGCTTTTGATTTTTAATGTAACTCTTCAAATATTTCTAAATTCTTACCTTGTTGCAAAATAATATATAAAACAAAAAGATAATATCCCATTTTTAGCTATTTTTCCTTTTAAAATAATTAATTTTTTATTATTATTAGATAAATTATTATAAAAGAAAAATATCATATAATTAATAAATTCATTTGTAAAATAATCAAATAATATAGGATTCAATTTTTTGAAAATATTGGCTAATATAAATTTTTATAAACAGTAAATATTTGCCCTAATTCAATATTTAATATCATTAAGAAATCAACTATAGCTTTACACAAATATTTCAATTTTGTAAACGTCTAATGAGTTAAGATAATTTTATTTTGCAATATATTTGTTAGTGACCTGTTTCGGGCCTAATTTTTCAAGCCCAGCCTGGCCTAAAATTTGTTTAAAAAAATTTATCTGGCCTAATTCAATTCCAGAAATAATTTTCTTCATTTGTCCCAAAATGTGTAACCCAAAATTAAAAAAATCATTTGTCTGCCTAGAATTTTTTAAATATAGAAAAATTCAAAATTTATTAAATTATAAAAAATATTACCACCTGTTTCTATCATGAAAATGGAGTGATATCATTTTAAAATATTAAGCCCTTCCTAGCCCAAACACAAAATTTTTTTAAAAATAGGCTTGGCCTAGTCAAAGCCTCTTTGGGCTAGGGCTGCAAATCTCTAATATTTATATCCTCCGATCACTTATTAATTTTTTTATTTTAATATTGGCTTATAAATTTGCTAACAAATGTATCATAATAAAAGATAAAATATTTTTAAATTTATAATGGTTCATATCAGTGTTTTGCTAAATGAGAGCCCTTATATTAATCCTCTAGTCAGTTATTCTGAGTTCTTCATAAATTTTAAATTCTTAAGTTATAATAAAAAAAATATTTGATATTCTACATTTTTAAGAAATATTCACTTTAATCTCAAGGTAATGGCGGGATATTTGCCTCCCCCAAATATAGGTAGATCTGATCTAACTAGCATCCTTAGATCTTCAAAATTCCATAAATAATTTCGTGGTAGGTCCCAAAAATTCTCATCATAATTAAATGTGCTGTTTTGACTTGTATCCTTCATCTCATTTGCATTTTCCTTTAGGAGTGTTTTCAAATGTAAATCATTGGGTAATGCTGTCATTTCAGAGGCTTTGGATTCAAACTTATAACTCTCTAAATCTTTTTCATCACTGATTTTGTGGGTAAACAACATTTTATCATGCTGAGGTTGTATGTCCATATTTTTTTTAAGCATAATTTTATCATTATAATAGTCAGCATCCTTAGACTCATCTTCATAATTTGGCCAAGGAATTGATAAGGGAGTTTTATAAGTCAAATCTTTGATGGTTTTTGTTGGTTTACCCCTATTTATAATGTTGTTGCTCAAGAGATTTGATAAATCAAGGCCTAATTCTCTAGTCAATAAGTTTTCGAAGGAAAAGTAATATTCAGCATCATTATTTGATGAATGGTTAGCCAAGTGCATGGTTTCAATAAATTTAATCAATGAATCTTGGTTATCCCAAAAATTAAAAGTGTTGGAATTTTCCTGAATATTTGACAAATTTTGCAGAGATTTGGGAAATTCCCCCTTTTTAGCAAGAAACCTTAAATGTATTTTTTATATTTTCTGTAGGAACAAAATATATGAATTTACTTGAAATATAAAAACTTTGCCATCAAATTTCTAAAATCTAAATCATTGGTATCACTCTGGTATTCATTTAAATTAAAAGTGGCAACCTTATTTTATACTTAACTTTATTTAAAAAAATAAATAAAATTATACTTGGCTCTTATCTTTTGAATTCATAAGATTGTGATATATATAATGATGAAAAATAGCCCACATAATAATCTATATATGCTATTTATGAAATTATTTTAAATTATTTATAGATTACTTCAGATTTATTAGATACTGAATCACATTCAAGTAATAATTTCAATTTTTCCCAAATCCTAAGATTTTCAGTGAAATCAAAATCTTCTAATAAAATAGTATCCTCAATTTTATGAATTATTACACTAACACATGATTTTGAATATGGCATTTTTAATAATTTTTTAATGATCTAAAGACCAATAAATAAAATATATCATTCGTAAAAAAATTACATTTGCTTCAGAAACCACATCGATCTTGCCTAATACATCAAGAAACTTGTTGGCAATTTTAAAGCTTAATTATATAAATAAACATATAATTTACAATATCAAATAGATACCTTTCAAGGGCATGATTCAATTTTTGTTTAATATAATATTTAATTTCAGTATCATCTGTGCCTAAACTAATTTCTGAAAAAGGTATACAAAGCATTCCTTCATAATCATGACTAGAATCATGTCTGAAAAGTGTTGATAATGTTAACAGATCTGTTTGTGAAATATTTTCCATATGCAGTTTAAAATTCAGCGTAACAAAGCGATGAGATAGAAGAATTCAGAACAAAATTTGATAAGGCTGTCAATATCAATCAATTAAGTAATTATACTTATGTCGTAAAATTATAATTCTAATATTTTTAAAATTAAGATATAAACATCTACAAGTATATATTCAAATTATTTATTTTAGAATTCTTAAATGACCTCTTATTTTATAATTTATAAATTCATAAAAAAATTTTATTTTGTTGTTATGATTTCTTATTTTAATTTGAAATTACTTATTTCTGGTATGTATAAAAAAAAAGACTTAATTTTATATTATATTTTATAATAATCATTACATATATACAAATAATATTATAAACCCTAGCATGCCAAGTCACTACCATCTAATTCCCTCGTCACAAGAGTGGGGCCCAAGGACTATAGCCTGCTTAAATGAAAAAAAATTCCTTAAAGGCTTCTTAATATGCCCTTAAACTAAACATTAACCCCTGAACTATTTCTTCTATATTTCAATAAATATTATATTACGATTTGATTTTATTATTAATAAGAGTATCTAAATTTATTTAAATGAGTGATATAAATTATTAGATTAGATTAATAGATATAAATAATATTTTATTATTTAAAAATTAAGAAGATTATATGAATTTTCATTATTATATTAGACTAATACATATAAATTATATTCGCTATATATGGTTGCAAAAATGGAACATCAATATCACTCATAGTATCGAAATATTAATTTAAAATAAAACGAAGCTTAATTTAACCTTTTTGTTAGAAAATTTTAATTGTTTCAATTTCTACTATGTTGAGACAAAATTCTATGTATATAGAAAAAAATATTAGATATAAATCATATTGTTATTTTATTTCAGAAATCATATGCCAAAAAATGCGATATGAACAAAATTAAAATAATAGTAAGTTATTTTACGCCATAATTTATTGTTTTTAGAAATGTGGATTGTAACCACTCTTTATAATTGTTTTTAAGTCCCACTTTTATTTTATACTTAGTTAAGTTTGGTTAACAATCTGTTTCATTTAATTTAATAAAGAATTACATTATATCTTATCCCATGATTTTATTTTATTAATCTTTTTACATTATCTTCAAAATTTTATTTGAGATAATAATTTGAAGTTACCAATTTAATATAATTTGGTCGATAAAAGAAAATAAAATGAGGTTAATAAGTTGTTGAAAAATCATAAGTGAAAGAAATAAATTAAAAATCAATGTAATAAATCTAAGTTGTCAGATAATATGAATAAGTTCTATGTAAATTAAAATTACATATATACATTTAGATATTTATATAATCCTAGAGATTTTGCTCATATATGCAAGACCCAAATCAGACTTTTTAGGAACGACTAGCAGGGTTTCTTTTTTTTGTAAAACATATGAAATAACCCAAAGGCGTTTAAATCACAGATCCAAACTGTAATGAATATTGGTTCAGTTCAGGTTTAAATAGAAACTCGTTTAAAGAAAACAATCGCCACCTCCAAAATTATTTTGGCCCAAAACCAAATATTACATATAGCTTCCAAATTCTTAAAGAAAATTTAGCTAAGAAATTTTCATTCGCTCATTAACCATTATATGCGAAAAGAGCAAAAGAAATCCACATTTGACGATTCTTCTCAACCTACGAAGGTTTCCTCGAATAATCTAGTCGAAGCTATTGGTCTTTTCAGTCAATGCATAAATATGATCCATTAATGTGTCCAAGACAAATAATAGTTTTAAATATATATATATTTAAAAAAAGCTAATTTAGCAATCAACCTGTTTTTTATTATTGTTTTTTTTACTAAATATTGAATTACAATATGAAAAAAGGTGTAAAAAAATAATAATCTGGCCTATAGGCTAAATATGTCTTTCAAACAAATTAAGATTAAATAATTCGAGGGTATTTTTTATTGGTAAATGATTTATTCAATATTCACTGAAATGATTGGTGGTAAAAATTGTCAAAAAAATATTGTACGTATTTCAGTCTATAACATATTTATATTAAATAAACAAATTCAATATAGACCATAAACTTAAAATTTACCAATACCCCTCCCTATAATTTACATTTTACTTAATCGGGTACGGGCTTTTCTCTCTCTTCTTATTTCCCGTAGGCGTTTAAGCAAGTGGTTTCGCCTCTTGCGCGCACAGGTAACTGCAGCCTGCCCAAGAACTGTGGATGGGCTCATCTCATAGGTTACCCCCAAATTTCTTAACCCAATTAGATGGGATGAGATAGTCCAAGCGTAGCTCTGCTGTTTCATATAGCGATAAAGGGTAATTGCGCTTATTATGACGTATGACGTATAACTTTAAAAAAATCATTGCCGACATAAATAAATATTAAGCATCACCATAATGTAAAAATATAATCCCAACCTTTTTTTATTTTACAAAATAGTTTATTTTCAAATGTATATAAAAAAATATATAATATATATATATACATAGGTTTTGTCAAAATATTTTAATATTATAAATTTCATTCAATCATTTATCAAAATATACAACTATAATATTTAAGGTGATTGAAAGATAAACGCGCGAGAAAATATATGTATGGTTATAAAACGAGGAACTTTTGAAAAGCAGCTGTGTTATCGAAGAGATCTGACTGGTCATTTGACTAAATATGATTATTATAAGATAATGTATTATAAAAAAAACTTTTCTGAGAGCTAACTAATGTTAAGTAAACTAGTATTTATTAGATTTGTATTAGTGACATAGCTGGAGTCTTGGGAGTTTTGTAGGTAAGATACATTCGTCTTAGGGCATCTATTAGCGAAGTGACCCTTTTCTCCACACTAAAAAATAAATTATATTTGCATTGTGAAAAGTAACTAATTTTCAAATGTTTTTATCCTATACCCAAAACATATAATAATACTTACCTAGATTGATGATTCATTCATTAAAATGTATTTTGAAGCGTCGTTGAAATACAGATGAGCTAGTGTCATGTTATTTTAGTTTTCCGTATAATTTTTTTAGATTATAAAATAAAAATGATTTTTTTTAAATAAAAAAAATTGAAAAAATGTAAATTGTTTATACGGGAAAACTAAAATGGCCTGCCACCAGCTGATTTGTATTGATACACCATTCTAAATAAATTAATCGCCAATTTAGGTATTATTAATATGTCATTGCTTATATCAAATATTTTAGCTTAATCAAAAGATATCAGATTAAAAGTTTAAGTAAAGGTTTGAGAGATATGATTTAGGATTTAAAAATGATTTTTAATTAAAATTATATAATATCTGAATTTTATTGTAAATTAAGACTCCTATTCAAAAAAAAGAAGATAGATTTCATAAATTTTCAATGGAGTTTTAAAATATAAAATTTAAATTATATATGATAAATTTTTTTAAAGGATTCTAAAGAAAGATAATATTTTAGAAAAACTATTACTGATTTAATTAAACTAATGTTATAAATGGAATATTACTCTATAGCAGACGACATCCTCTAAGTTTCTTCTTTCGGCGTGGAAGTGATGTGTACCTCGTGGTATGAAATGACGTATATCGTCTCCTTTTAAAGATGGCATGTATGAGGTTATTTTGGCTTCGCCTTTTGGTAATATGATAAAAAGTATAAATATTATATAAACTAACTAGAGTCAAAAAGAAAAACTGCCTTTAAAAATCTTTATGACTTTTGTTTTCAAATAAAAATTCTAAAATTTGGTAAAAAATAACTCAAGAATTTTTTTAAAAAATCAGATGGTGTTTAGATCTTTTTCAAAATTTTCATCAATAAGCTGTAACACAAAATATTTAGATTGTACAACAAATCTGATTATAAAACGATTAACACCCAATAAAATCAGACGATAATTAAAATCATCATTATCCGTTTTTTTCGTTTCTTTTTATTAAAAATAGTAATTGATAATTTAACAACGAAAATTTAAAATAAAAATAAAGATATAGGGTGATGGATCTGATTTAAAAACATGACTTAAATTATTAAATCAGTAAAGAGTGTCCGCAATTCAGCACCCAAGTTTGATTTGTGAATTCTCTAGGAAAATGGTGGAATAAACCTGCAGTTCCCAGAGTTTTTCAAGCAACCTCAAGATACCGAATCCATATTCCGAAAACAAGGAAGTGGTAGTATATCTGCCAAGACGGATAGGAAAATTTTCTATGCTGAATATTCCTTATTCTCAAATAAAAATCATGGTAGTCACCAATCTCGAAGAATTTGGTTCTAAACATGTAGTCATATCATGTAGAAAGTTTTCAACATATTCAGAACCTTATAAGAGTTAAAATCATATAAGACTTTGGAAAAAGGACTTTAACCAATGCGTCCTCCGATTGGCTCTTATAAGTTCTCGTATAACAATGGCTAACAGAACTTTCTTCCACTAATCTAACGCCAGTTTGATTTTTTTTTTTGAGAAATTAAGGGTTAATTTAGCAAATTTTTCTTTAAATTCGCCTAAAGATTCAAAATGATGTCGTCTATTTTTATAAATTAATAATTCAGTTTTGCACAAGAAAATCCAGTGTAATTATATGAGGAAAGTTAGGGAGGTATTAAGAAAATTCAATTAAATCTATAATTAACAGACAAAAATTCCTGTGTGGATATAGCTCTATAACGCTGGGAAAAGGGGGGGATTTTTTTCTTCTAATGATGCAGAAGCGTTTTGTCGATTTTCTTAAATCCGCAAAGAGGAATTGGTCTGGGCGTTTACTGAAAAAACATTAATTAGATAAAAAATTTAATAACCGTCTTTTAGAATATAATACAAATAACACAAAGAAGAAAGTATAATAAATTTCCTGGATTAGAAAGAATATCTAGAATTTTCGATATTTGCATTTAAAAAAATTATTCAAACATAGATATAAGCTCATTCTTCTTTTCATTATTATAATGAAGCGATAAATTAAAAATATCACCATTGTTTTTTTTAAATATTATATGTGATATTTTTTTTATCGCACATAACAAAATATATATTTTGATTCAGATTCGTTTATTTTCAGAGAAAAAATTGGACGTCGATATTTAAGATGAGGCATCAGTCTGGTACTAGATATAGATACAATATCCGATATCTTTAACATTTATGAAATTATTTATATATAGATAAAATGGTTCAAACACTAAAGGATGTCGAAATCTTATAAATAAGTCAAAAGTTTATCATAAATGACATTATTTATGTCCTCGTTCTCACCTTAAAATATTAAACCAAAAAAAAATATTGGATTATATGAATATTTTATCCATCATATTTTGATAAAAAAACAGTATTTTAATTACGCAAAAACTAAAACGAAACCTTTGAGCTTGGGGCAATGTGATAGCTTGTGACCTAATTCACCGCAATAGTGGCAAGTTATCATTCCTCGCCCCCTAATTGGTTGAAATGTTGTCCCTAAAAATAAATTATTTAATTAAAAACAATAATCTAAAAAAAAATCCATCATTCAGGAAATAAAATATTTGAAGGGGGAATTTTGGAAATTAAACTTAGTGAAAATTGATGAAAATGAGAATGACACTAGAACCCCTGCAAGTCGACCTACTCGGTTCGATTCTAAAGAAAAATTTAAAAATCAAGTCAGACCTGGCTTAAAAAAAATTAGAATTTATCTGCAACTCGGCATTCAAAGTTGACGCAAATTCGTGGCGAGATATACAAAAATGAATGTAAAAATATTATTTTTATATCAAATTTTGTATATTATGCCATAAATTCGCGCTAAATGTGAATGCAGGGTAACGCTGCATTTATACCAAGCATGATTTGCTCTAACGTTGCTAAATTAACCATTAACGAAATCAGAGCTGATTCGCCACAGCTATACCTTTTAATGTATATACGTATAAAGCAGCTGTCGCAATTTCATCATTTCTTTCTGTATTTATAAAATTATACCTATTGATTTGTTTTTGTAAATTATGCAGCAAATAATTTCGCAATGCTTAGGCAAATCGCGATTACTATAAATGAGGCGTAAATGAACAAAGCGACATGATTTACTTAATTTTATTTAAAAAAAATGCGTTTAATTTTTTTAAATAAAAATTTTGGGACAAGTTCGAACTCAAAAATTATAAATTTAGAGGCCGGAGCTATCCTCCAAAAAATTGAAATAGATCTAAATGCAGGGGGTTTCCAGGAATATCTATAATAGACAATGTATATTCTTATTTGCATTTTTTAAATTTAAAGTGAAATATTTTTCGGTCAAAGTTTACCAAAAGTAGTAAAAAAAATTAATGAACATTATTTTCCAACTAGGATGTGATTACGTGCTATGGATGGTAATATATATTATTGTTAAAATACCTGAAATAGTATGCACGCGGTCACCATAACCATGATGGAAAATGGGAGGCGGAGCGGAGGGAAAAGAGTAACCAGGTAAGGTGGCAGCAGACATGGCGGAAGGATACGGAAAATTAAGATGGTGATGAAAGTGGGGTGCGCAAGGACCTTCGGTAGAGGGATGTGGTGCATCAAAACTCGCGCTGATTTGTGTATATAAATATATAAAAGATGAATCGTTGATAAATTGGTATTGATTGAAATCTTGAAATCAGTGATTATTTTGAATAAAATTTATAACTAAAATCAATTTTTTTGACTGTATTGTAAATCTTTTAAAAAATATATTTTGCATATAAGCTTTAATTAATTTAATAAATATTATATAAACTATTTAAAAACTATATAATATTTATATTATAAAAAATATATTCCTCTAAATAAACAAATACAAATTAGAAAAACGAAAAGAAAATAAAGAAGGAAAAATAGATATAAGAAAGATCTTTGGAAAGAAGACTACTGTTGAAGTTTATGTAATTCGTTTTAAGAATCGCTATGGCGAGTATATGTCTTAAGTAGAAGTCTTTTCGGGGATCGCCAGAGAACTTGCAAATATGAAATTCTAAATCTTTGAAGAAGGATAAGGCAAGTTTAGCGAAGGAGGTGAATTGGAATAAAAATATGATCTTCTGAAATTTCGGAATATTCGAAAATTTTGAGTTGTTCATTTTGAATTTAGTCATAGTTAGATGGGGTTAAAGGATCTATACTAAAATACTCCTTAACAAAAAATTGGCCCAGTTTCCATGAGATCAAAGGGATTCAGCCACTGGGATATCGCCGACATGCGCCTTCCATGACAAGATAGCGTCATCTAAGGAAAAGTCGTTTTTTAAGGTGTGAAAATTGATAATAGGTTTAGAAATAGATTGCTCGAAATAATGATAGTGAGAGCAAGATAGGCGTTAGATCTTGGTGGGTAATGAAGCCTAAGCCTGCCCGAGTAGTTTATTTCGAAAATTCCTGAATAGATCTATTACCCCAACCAGCCACTCATATGAGCAAAAATAACAGCTCAAAATTACCAACGGAAAATCATGTCTTTACTTCTATACATCTTTATTGTCTGGCGATCTTGGAAAAGCGTCTTCATAAGACAGAGACTGGCAATAGAAATCCTTAAAGCGAATTATATAAGCTTCAACGGCGCAGTTTCTATCCAAAGAGATTTCTAGAATTATTCTTTTTTTCAGTTTCTTCTCGTTTTATGCTATATTTATCTTAATTTTTTTTACAATAAATATGGATATGGGCCATTCCATGTCAAATCGAACATGATTTGGCTGATTCCTTTTAGAATTATTAAATATCGTTGGAATTATTTAGATCGGTAAAAAAAATAAGATAGCCATTTATTTTAGCTAGATAGCACACCTGAATTTCGAAATACAGGATTTCTAAGTTGCGAAATATGGTGATTTTGGCGCCTATAAATTTTTTAAATTGCTCTTATGTCAAAAACTATTAAAGGTAAGAATAAAATAAATATATCATTTCGTATGAAAAAAAAACTTTCAAAGTTCTATCGAAAGAAGAAGAAAATTGGCGGCAATTCGAGTCTAATTTCAGCTTTTCGTTTATTTTTAGCAATAAATAGAGTTAGAATAGATGGCTCTAAGAAATTACAGATTATGGTTAAAAATTCGTTGCTAACTTACCAATAATAGGCTATTTTCGCTTTTTATACTAAAATATTTCGAATATCCATAAAATGTTCGAATTAAACTGAGGAGCAGTGGGGGCAGAATGCACCTTAGACATTTTAATAATAATAAAGTTTTCAATAATAAATGTCTTTCGTATAAATTTTTCATTATTTATTTTTATTAATTATATAAAAATACAGATAATCAAATTCATTCCATAATTTAAATTATATTTAAAACTAAATATAGTTAAAGATAAAATTAATTATATATTAAAGAAAATAAATTTAAAAGATAAATAGCTTTTTTTAATTGTCTCATTATGAGTTGAAGGACTGACTGACATATTCAAAATTTGTACTTATGTATCCACAAATAGTAGGTCGGGGAGGTGCATGCATAATTGAGGATGCAAAAAATTACAGCACCTCCTCTTTTTCGAATTTTCATTCACCATTTACCGGCATAGATATATATTATATATCCATTTATTTTTCCATAAATAAGATTCGCAATAATATTCGAATGAAATGTTACGTTTAATATTTACGATTCTGTTAAATTAGAATAAAATTTAACTTCAATTTTATTGAGAAATTACAGGAGTGAAGCAGAGGACTAAATACTTTTGGAATAAATGAACGAAGCGATTCCGATATTATTACGCAACTTAAGTCATTTAAATTATTAAGTGTATTGTAATAAATCACAAAAGGATTAATGGTAACTTGCGGTTTATTCAGTAAAATTTTTGTATCTCATCTTGAACCACAAGGGAATAATTTTCAGAAAAAACTGCCTGAACGATATATTCTCTTTCATTTAAATTCATTTTAATAGAATTCATGCCTTATATAATTTTTGAGATATAAGCCATTTAAAAATTTTACAGGTGAGAAAATCATCTTGGGAACTTGGTGTGCTAGCAAGCTAAAATAAACAGATTTCTTATTTTTTAACCTATCTAAATAATTCCCGCAATTTATAACAATTTTAAAAGGTTTTGGCTGGAAAGGGCCTTTTTTGATCTATTTGACATGGAGTCCAGTTCGAAATATTTTGATATAGTATAAATATCCTGTTATTGGTAAATTAGCAAAAAAACCATAATTTTATATAGCGCCATATATTTTATAAAATGAAATTTCAATTTTTGGTAAAAAAAAAAGAAGCATATTCCGGAAGAGATAGCGTCAATATGGATTTTCCCACATCTTACATATTTTTATAAAAGGTGTCTAAATAAAAAGCATTTCGGAAACTAACTCCCCTATTGCTTAAAAACGCGCGTAGAGCAGTAAACTGAAATAGGCGCCAATTTTTATTTAATTCTTTCGATAGACCTTTAGATTTTTTTGCCATTTAAAAATTTTACATTTGCGAAACTAGTAATTTATCGCCACCCTTGAGATCCTGTATCTTGGAAACCAGGTGAGCCAATGAGCTAAAATAAACTGCTTTCTTATTAATTTTTTACCGGTCCTAATAATTCCATCAATTTTTAATATTTTAAAAATGGTATGCCGTAAATGGGCATATTATTTTATCGAGGAATGACCCAAAAATTATAAATTAATTAGCGAAGCGATAATTAGTAGGAAATGATATATAGTTAGCCGAGCAATATTTCCACCCGTGCTCTAAATAGATTCACCTTCGCTATTGATTAATATTAGTATTGATTTTAATTATTATTCGTAAAAGTACAACTTAGAGAATCATTGTTTTAAATTACCAGTCAGCATTATTTAAGTTTTGATTTTCATTATTTTTGATTTCAAAAAATAAAAATAATTTTCCATAGTGTTTTATCCTGATATTTTATGTTTTGATATAATAAACACCTTTAAAGGAAGATACGAAAAAAACCTCTATAATTATTTCAATTTGCTGTAGTTTAAATAAATTCTGATATTAAATATTTTAATAAGAAAAAGATTAATTGATCGCAGTTTATGCTGTGTCTAAAACTTGAAGAAAAGTAGCTCACCCACATTTTTTCTATCAATTTTTAGAAATTCTAGTTTTTTTAAATTTGTTTTAAAATTTGTGAAAGGCTTTATACAAAAATATTAATTTTAAAATAGTGTTGTTAAAAGGCTAGATTTGAGCCGATTTTCAAAAATGGCTAACTCAATATTTTAGCCAAAAAAATATTGTCTAAGCCTCGAGATTCGCTAATAGATGTCCAACCCTTTGTGCCACCTATGAGCAAAATCTTAAGGCTTGCATAATATTTTTTCTGAATAAAACATTGTTAGCCGTTTTTAAAAATCGGCTCAAAATGAGCCTTTTAACAACGTTAATATATAATAGTTAAATAATGTTTATAAGATTCTTAGGCATCGCTAGCCGATTTTGGGCAAGGTTCACAAAAAAAATAAAACGAGTAATTATGCTGCCTTATCTTCTTTCTTCAAAATGAGTTTACCTTTTACTGTTATTAGAGAACGTTGTTGTTGTTATTCCATTATAAAACAGGATGTTATCCGCTTGAACCCATTAAAATTTATTGTATGAATGTGTGATTGGGAAATAATATTCATATTTTTATTATTCAAATGTAAAAAAAATGATTATTTTATTAGGAATTATGCAATAAAATATTTAAATATATTTATTAAATATTGGTGGCGAGCTTATCGATGCAGCTCAAATCAATCGGTGGCGGGGGCAACGTGAACCTGTGATACACAGGTCCAATTATAGTTAATTTTTCTAAACTTTATTTAGCTTATATAATCGATAATTATTTATCAAAACAAATCATTTTACTGCATAAATTTGCATTCTCTTCCTTCAGGACAGAACCCATTGAGATAACTTTGACACATTACCTTTCTAATATGGCGATTTTTGCAATTTGGACCTATATTATATAATGGCGATATTTATAACTGGTTCATAAAAGATGGCTAATAATATTTGCATTTAAAAATTTCTATTTTTTGCAGTTATTTATTATATAAATTACCATGTCGGCAGAACCCACGATCATACCATTGACAGTCTTTAATCTTAGATTCTGGATCTATATGCAGGAAAGGGCATTCTTTATTATTACAAGCATCTTTTAATATTGAAAATATTTATATTTATATATATTTAAAAATAGAAATAAGAAATAAATGATAAAATATTATAGCTAATAAAAGAAATGTAGAATAATATCATCTTACCTAAAACTTAAATTAGGGCTTTACTGATCCACTAATTTTTCACCAATCTGATATTTAGGTTAATTTAAATTAGATTTAAAAAAAAGACAATTTCTATGCAAAAAAAATTATAACTGTAAACTAGAGACAAAAATACCGTCTGACTGAGGTGATTAGAGATCTGCAAATGATGGCCCAGCCCATACCTGGCATGAGCCGAGTTTATTTTTTAAAAATAATTTTGGTTCAGGCTGGGTCGGGCCTAATATTTTTTTAAAAAATTTTGGGCAGGTCTTCTTATATATAACATCATTACATTTTGTCAAATAAATTGATATATTTCTAAAATCTTGAAAGAAACAAGGTGCTAATATTTTATATTTGTAGAATATTTTTTTTAAATCAATAAAAATCAAATTTTATATTTAAATAAAGATCCAGGAGGACAAATAATTTTTATTTTTATTCCAGGACAGGTTCTTAGGGAAAATTTTTATAAAAATCATTCAGGATTGGCTGTCTTCGCGAACATCAGGTTAATTAACAATAGAGTTAATTTTGTTGACATGATTTATTTTTATTTTTTAGAAAAATTTTAGCCCGATGCAGATCATTAAGGTGATATTTGGTGCATTATCATGAATGATTGATTTTTTTTTATTTTTAGGAAATTATGCATAATATAAAATATATCATTTGAATAAAACAACCAAAAAAATGATAATATTGTATTTATACAAATTTTTTTTAAAAATCAGCTAAGTATGAACTTTTTTGAATGGGTAAATAATGGACTAAATCCATTCCAATATTTATATTGACATAAATCAAATTTAAATTTAGCTTGTTCTACTCAAAAAAAATACAAATTGTATTTTTTATCTTATTTTTTTATAATTATTAGTAAACAAATTGTCAATTAGAATAAATAATGTGCTGCCATGATGATTATAGTATTTATTGTTATAATATAAGAAAAATTAAATCAACCCATAATTGTGTCAATACCTTTTTGGCTAATAAAAAATACTCAAGTGAAGAGTTTCAGCTCAATACCCATGATACTTATATTTATTTTAAATAGTGTTTTAAGAAAAGGAATCTAGCCCAGTTGGAAATTATTAATATCTATATATTGAAATTGGTTTTAAATATGTATAAGAAAAGTAATTAATCATACTCAACATCGGTTATATAATCAAACCAAAATCTGGGGGGGGGGGGGGAGAATGGGGCAAACAGTGGTCAAAACTAACTTTCTCACCAAAAATGCATGTGCATAAAATTAAAAGATGTAAATATTAAAATGTAAATCATATTAGTTAGGTTCTGAAAAAATTTTATTTATGAAAAAATCAGTCAAAATTTATAAGAACATAAGGAAAAATAGTGACAAAACTTATAATGTAAAACATATAAATTTGTAAACATTCATTTGGAATATAATTAAACAATTAATATAGTAGATTAACTAATAAATAAAAATATACTTTTTTCTAAAATAATTTAGTAAATAATTACCTAGCATATATAAATGTATTATTTTTAAATAAATAGCAAGAATAGAGCCAATTTTAACTGCTCAAAACAGATAAAATTTGTAGTTTGAAATATAAAAAATTCATTTTAATAATTTAACAATAAAAATAATTAAAAAATAACCACTATTTACAAAGGAAAGATCTATAAAGTGTTAGAAACAAGGAATGTTTTGCTGATTTACTTTTACATTATTAAAAAAAAATAATTTAATGGACTTAAAGAGGGGCTAATTTAATATTAAAATTGTATGGAGCTTCTTACATGTTATCCTAATAAAGAAGAATGGTAAAATAAAGAATTTTATAAAAATTTGTTATATTCACCAAAAACTCTGAATAATATATTCAAATCATAAATTATACTGTATTTTGAGAAGAAATAACATTCTGGCATTTTTGTCATATCATATTCATGCAAAAACTCACAATCATCACCTTTTTTGCACAATCCTCTGAGCCAATGTTTGCAAACAACATTTTTGTCACCCTTATTTAAATATATTTTAGGAATTATATAAAACTTAGTATAAACTTTGATGTGACGAAATGGACATAATTGACCTAATTTGCATAAGCCTGTATCACGAAAATTTATGCATACTGCAGATCCAGACTCTCACAGAGAAATATATGATTTTCGATAATACTAATAGCATAAAAATTAAAATTTACTGTCCATTCCAATAAAGGGTAAAGGTAGGCACCACATTTGGGTGTCAAGAGCTTCTTCAACATCGAAATGTAGATGATTTACATTCGCTATGAGTTCTTGCATTTTTGAATGCAATGGATAGCTCCTAGAGACCTTAAGCTCTATCTACTTATAATTTTAGGGAATGTCAATGCAAATTGTTTTATATGAGAATAAAAATAAAATAATGATAAATAGTTTTACATTGTATTGTATAATATTATATGTGAATGCATAGTTATTATAGGATGTTGAGGGGTTTTAGATATATATTTTTTATATATTAAATTTTTATATATTATATTACATTCTTTATCTGAAATCGAAGTATTACATTTTGTATAATTAACTAATAAGGTTAAATAAAATGAATAAAAATAATATAAGGTTATTTAGGTTTTTCAAATATTAAATGTGAATAATAAAATATGATTATTATATAAAATCCTAGTTAAGAGAAAATAATTTTAAGTTAAACATCAATTGTTAAATTCAATTTGAATAATAAAACAAAATAGTAAGAAATTTGGCAAAATTGTAAACCTTAAAAAATTTTTGTTAACCAGCTTTACCAAAATATATTGTATAATAGTAGAGTGGAGTTATATTTATTTGGCGAAAAATAATTATTGTTGTTCTATAATAAAAAAAATCAGAAGTAAATTGTTATAATGTATATACAAATTCATGTGCATATCATTTGGCGACTCAAAAGGAGTGAGTGAATATAAAAATAAAATATAAGATGGTTAAAAATAAATAAGCCATTCAGTATTGCATGAATTCATTCTAGAAAACCTTGAGTATTAATTCTAACAAAATATCTTTGCTAGCTATAAAGGAACTTAATTATTCCAAAAATGGAGGCTATAGCTTATATAAATATATAAATTGGACTACATGTTATTTTTTTTGTTATCAAATAAACTTTTTATAAAAATTATATTAATTATAATTAATTCGATAACAACCATAAAAATACATTATAAAAATCCTCATCCCATTTCATAATCCCTAGAAATCATTCTCAAAATTTCTTCTATCTCCAAAACCATATGATATGGATTCATTTTGTCTGTCAATTCAAGTGTTCAGTAGCTAATAAATACATCTTTCCTCCCACCTCCTTTATCCAGTCCAAAATATACTCGCTGAATCGCCAACCTTGGATGGTGACAATGGCATTAAACTTAGAACGGTTCTTAAGGATCCCGTTATCACTTGGACGGCATCGCGGTCAAGACAACGAATTCTTCACCCGCCATTGTCACCAATAGTATCCACGTAGACAGTCCACGAGGTGTTAAACGTTGAAAGGCCCATGATCAAATCGCTTAAACCACCATATGGTCAAACCAACCCCAACCAATATTGATCACACAAACCTCCTTATTATCAATAACTGAATAGTCATCATACTTGTCCTTTCGATGGGCCTCATCGATGGACTATCCCCTTTTAACATAAATCTTCTGGGCAACTACCCACAAGTATCTTCGATGGACAACATCGATTCTATTTATCTTGAAAACTATGGTTACTACGTTTATCAAGATATTCAAACTTTATGTTTATAATACCTAATTAGCCAGATTCTTTTATCAGTAACCATTTTCCCAATGTTCAAATTAATCAGGATCTTTTATCAGTAACATTTTTCCCAATGCCTTATTTATCCAGCTTATATTATTAGTAACCTTTGTCCAAATATTCAAATTGGCTCGGTTCTTTTATCATTAACCTTTTTTCCTATCGAAATTATCTAAGATCTATAATTATAATCTATAAACCAAATTACCATGTAAATGTCATCATATTATCTATGTTTTCATATTTTAAGAATTAAAGTGAATATTGTGAATAGAAATATCATCATTAAAATCATACTTTATTGATAAATTACATTTTGTGCCACTTATTTTCAATTCACCGTCCTTTATATATCATCTAAAATAATATTTAAAAAAACCAATCGCTTTGCTTTACAATGTTTATTATTTTAAAATTAGTGTTAATAAAGCAAAACTAAGTTAATATGTATTATAATAATGTAAGAAGAAAGAAACGATAATAAAATTTGTTCATAAGTAATGCGTTACTTTATATTAAAATTAAAGATTTTTTTAAAATATTATTATTTATTTTCGTTTTTATCGAAACGTGGTTAAATTAAGATTATTATTTAAGTTATTTATTGTCGTGTTTATTTCAACTATATCCCCAAATTAATTATCACAAATTGTCCATAATCTTAAAATCATATTTAAATAAATTCCACTTTTGTCATGCCAGATGGCTCTTCATTTTCTTAAATATTTTCCATAATTAATAAAATCCCGAATCATTATCCTTTAATCTTATAATTATTTAATTCATTCTTCATTTGTACCAAATACTATTTCTTATTTTATTATTTTCTTCCATTTGTCAATTCATTCATCACCCTATTTGTCTTTGTCAGCAATTATTATAATTCATTCAATATCAGAACCATTACATAATCATAATTCATTCATTTAAGAAATTCATAAAATTCTTATATTTTAGTTTTTAGCATTTCATTTTGAATCCAGTTATCTGGCAGATTTAAATCAGAAGTATTTTCATTATTTGTAGCCATTTATATGACTGTATTTTGAATGGAGGTAAAGATTATAAGAGATATAGATTTTCATTTTCCCAACTGATAAATCTTTAAAATTTTTAGTTTAAATATATAATGAGGGCTGCCCATTATTTCAAAAATCATAGCGGATTTAATATTTTAAATTTGTGCTTATTCTCAATCAATGATTTAACTACTGATAAGGTTGAAGAGATCGGGAGTAGTTGTTGTCTTGTACTTTATATTTGCAAACTTAGTTTCCTACTTATCTCCTTTTTTTAATATTAAATTCCTATTTTTACCTAGAACAGCATTCTACTATAAACGATTTTTGATATAAAATTATTATAAAACTTCTTCCCTTGAATTTTGATATATCGGGAAATTTCAGTTTTCCTTTTTTACGTTTGCTTCTATAGTCTTTTCGAAATGCTACGTATTTTATCATTTTTTGGAATTTGTAACATCTCAAGGAAATTTCCATGATTCAGATGCCATTTTCAAGATTGCTAGTGTTTCATGGTGGTCTAATCCTTTCGTAAAATTTTAACATAAAATCTTTATTATCTATCTAAAATATTTGTTATATGGTTATATTATTACGAATCTCTCGACTTTTTTCATTTAGCATTTTAAAGCTAATTGAATTTTATATTTCTATTAATAAGTTATAATATAAAAATGTATATTAATCAAAACTTGACTTTCATTTAAACGTAAACGTTTTCTTTAAGAAAATGAAAAATATACCAATATAATAGCATCTAAATAATAATCCTCAAGAAATGTATTGATATGATAATCTAAATGTAAAATTGGAAAAAATTAAAATTTTAAAATATATGAAAAGAGAAAGTCATAAGTATTAAAAAAATATATGTATATTTTTTCTGATTGCCAATTTTTTCATTTTTTTTACTGATTCGCCTCAAAAATCGAATTTTCTCTCAGCCGCGTGAGCAAATACTGACTAGGTCTTATTGCTATTTCGCCCCTTTACACCATTTCCTATTTTTTTTATTATAATAAAAATGGATAAAACCATTTTTCTAATTTTTTTTTATAAAAAATATATAATTGATCAATAATTTAATTTTTTTTTTCATCAGAAATCGGAAATTGAAAAAAAAAATTGATTTCAAATTAGTGCTCAAATGACATAAGTTTTTTACAAATAATACAATTCAAAAAAAAATAAAAGTTAAATAAGAGAATGTTTAAAAACACATGGTTCATATAAAATCTTCGAACTTTATTTTTTATACGAGCCAGTTAAAAATTCTCTCATGAGCTCATATAAATCCATTGATCTTTATTTTTATTCGAGGTAATGCGTTATTCTGATGAAGGTAAGAATACTCTTTTAGGTCACCAGAGATATTTTATTAAGTAAGAGATATATTATCAAAGTTACCTAATGCGGATATTACAGAGGGAACATAGGATGGTTTAAGCTAAGTCTATCCAGATATTCTCTGGAAGCAAGTCTGTCAGGTTTTGCAAAGAACAATAAAAACATGCGTGCTTTGATTTATTTCAACTTTTTTCTTTATCAAATCTTTCATCTGTTAAGATAACTATCTAGGTTGTCCATAATACTAACGGCCATTTCTTTGTCAATTGTTTCGTTTAGTTTTTGTTTTTGTAGCTTCGTCAACAATATTCTCCGGTAGGAATATAAGATTCAATGTTTTAGTAGAACCTTGACCTTTATGTGATTTCTATCCTCCACCATGATAATAATAAGTCGATTGTCGTCGTTAAATTATTTTAGACTGTCTTGTCGTCGGTAGTAGTTTATTATTGAAATGTATTTTTTATTATTTAACTATTTAACAAAAAAGAATATCAACATAAGCATTTTTCATATAAATTAAGAATTACATATATTTCTTTATCTAAAATAATCTCTCTCTCTCTATATATATATATATATATCTAAAATTAATTCTATTTTTTAATATAACACTATTTACATTATCGCCTTAAACCTTTTATATAAATGGACAAGTTAACGTTTTATAAATAAATAAATTTAAATTGAATAGTTACGAATATGTAACCGCAATTATTTTCTTTATAGATGTATATTATGTTGATTTGATCCATTTATTATGTGATTAAATTTCAAGTCTTACATTTAATAAGTTTTAATAAGACTCAATTATATACCTTTTGAATATGTGCCCTGGGCTCCCCTAAATATTTATCACAACAAACTAACACAACTAATTGACAGTTAAATATGTTTTATTGTGTTTATGTTTAAATAAAACATATTCTTGAAATATATATAAATCCATTATTTTTATATGATTTTTAATTTTAGGATTTTAAATTATATATGCCATCTTAGAAAATATATTTCAACAATTCATCTAGGGCCTACTTTTCCTGACAACTCAATCAATCTAATCAACGGTATTATAAGCGCTATGATGACGCAGATTTTCAAATTTCCCTATAAATTTTTCTGACCTATAAAACCGACAAACATAATTGTGACATAGGAATATACAAAATAATGCTACCTACCCTTATTTAGAGGTCTGCAAATAGCAAGATATTTATGATCCGCCCAGCTTGGTTGGGATTCAGGTTTCACCAGGCCCGCCCATCCAAATTACCACGGCCGCACGGTTTCAATTTTTAAATGGCAGGTTCGGTTTTTAAAATTTAAGAAATATTTCATATGGACACATATGAGAATTTGTTTCATAATTTTATAAAGATCAAGGAGGAAAAGCTTATTTATAAATGATCATGGTAGCAGGTATTTTTTCATTGTAATTATAAGCAAAATAAAAAAATATTATTTTAACAAAATTTGGCTTTAGAATAATTTTTATTTATTCTCTAATAGGTGGAGTTCATCTTTACATATTGCCTATTTTTTTCCCCAGACCAAATAAATTATTTTCAACGTTACCCCATCCACTGGGATTGTAGATCTCTACCCACCATGGACATTAGTGTTGATAACGCGTTTCCTTAGGAATAATTCGGCTTAAAAACCTATGTTAGCTTAATACCTATAAGATTTAGTCGAGCTCTTCCCATCATCAGTTTTCCTTCATCTACATCTTTTAGAAGTTATCCACATATCTTTCTCATTTACATTTTCTAGAAAAATGTCCCCTTTGTTTGAAATAACGCTTGGATTTTATGTCTTTCTCCATTATTTAAACATTTTGCCTGAAGGAATCACTGCATATAATATTTTACCCTATTTATCTAATTTACTATTTCACATGAAAAAGAAATATAAACAAGTTAGAAATTTTTTATCATACATGCAAAAATGTATAAAAAAAATTTTCAAATATGTCAGATATATATTTAATGGAATGTTAGTTCTTAATTAATATTTCGCCTAATTTACTTGAAACTTACAACAAAAATTAATATTGCCCTATTTAAAGAGAATTGATGATTAAAACAACATTTAAATAATATGAAATAATTATTAATTCAATGGAATTACTTAATGGATAGACGGAGAGCATGTGATAAAAAAATAAAGGTAATATAAAAATTGATGACAGTGTTAATTAAATCTATAGTAGGCCAATTTAGCTCTTTAAAAATGAGGTTGCTAGATCGTGCTAAGATTTGATAAGCAAAAAAAATTCATCCATGATAACTATTTCTCCAGAACTAAATCGTTTCTTGTTTAAATATAAAATTATTAGATATAAATTTTTTATTATTAATTATAAAATCACAATAATACAAAAATATAATAACTATTATTGAATATATTATATTTAAAAATGTTAAACCAACGATATTAAAGTTTGAAATATATATATATATTTATGACTGACTTAAATAATAGGACTATAATATATTAAAATATTTTCCTTTAGCCCACCTATTCTAAAAATGAAAAAGGTAAGGTGGATAATAAATTTTGCCAAATGGAATTGATGTTTAAAAAAGGGTGGTTAAGTCAGCGCAACCGCTACTAAAATGGAACTGAGTAATACCAGTTACGATCGGAGTAGTGATGGTTGCAATCGGTGTAGTGGTGGTTGCAATCAGTGTAGTGGTGGTTGCGATCGGAGTAGAGGTAGTTAGGATCGGAATAGTGGTGGTTACGATCGGTGTAGTGGTAGTTACGATCGAGGTAGTGGTGGTTGCGATCGGAGTAGGGGTATTTAGGATCGGGGTAGTGGTGCTTGCGATCGGTGTAGTGGTAGTTACGATAGGGGTAGTGCTGGTTGCGATCGGAGTAGGGGTAGTTAGGATCGGGGTAGTGGTGGTTGCAATCAAGGTAGTTGTTATATATGTTGTATAACAGCGGCATTTAAAATTACTTTTAATCATTCTGCAATTCTGAACTCCTTGATGAAAGATTCTACCAGGCCCGCATCCGAAAATCGGTTTATAAGGAGTAATACAATCTATAAATTTTCTACAAATATAGTATATAGGCTATACATTATATTAGTATATAATATAATATATAGATTAATAAATAGTATTGTTAAATAATTACTTATTAATATTTTAATATTACCCAGATCCTGGAAGACCCCTAAGTCGTTCTCCTCTCCAGTCGCAAATAGTATCGGGAATATATGAACATTCAGCGCCATCTACTATTGCTCTTCATTCCCTATAATTTATATAATAAGTGTATTTTGCTATAGGATCAGAAATAAAATAATTTACCAATATTTCCATTTTTTAAACTAAAAAAAAAATTTTAATAAATAAATAAATTGAATGATAAAATAAATGATATAATATTTCTAAAATTTAATTAAATAAGAAATTCATCACATCTTTATTTTATATAATACAATTCGTAAATAATCGTAAAAATAATATTATTTAATTTTCTTTACCCGATTTCGTTTATCTCCCTTTTCTTTTCCAACATGTGAATTATCCAGATCGTCCCAAAAACCATTTACATCATTTTTCTTCTGGTCTGCAAAATAACCGGTATGTGATTTATCCCAAATTTCACCTTTTCCTTCGTCATATACGTCTAAAGGGCTTGCATCTTTTCCAAAATACCTTTTGTCAAGTTCATTGTAGCCATAATATTCTATTTTAAAAATTTTTTAAAAAATTATTAAGAATATTTTTCTGGGTTTAATTGTTAGTCATAATTTAAAATTGTAACTGGAGTCAGATTCTAGTCGCGCTGGTTTGTTATGACAAATGTCAATCTCAAAAGTAATATGTTGTTCACATTTAAATACGTTTTGAGTTACGATGATCCACCTTAAGGCGGAGTACTCTTTTTGATTTTAATTAACATCACAAGAAGTGGCCTTTTCTCTAAGAAATCGATTGCAAAGAATTAATGATTTAATTAAATGAATTTGTATTAAAATCATATTTCTCTTCGCTTTCAAATCTTCCCCTCTGAGGCGCACTTTAGAGATTACAGATGTATAATATATAAATATCCGACCACGATAAAAATTTTAATATGTGTGACATATACCGAGTGTGCCCAAAAATACCGCTTTTGAAGTCTTCATAACTATAAAACCCGCCCTTTGTTTTTATGAAATTTCGTATTTTATTAAATAATATTCTCAAAATTTTAAAATTAATGTTAACAATTGTTCTGGAGCCTTATGGCCCGATTAAATATTGCCTTTGTGAAAGAAAACACTCCCTGGCATAGTACGTTATACATACATAAATTCTCATAATTAGAAGATTAATAAAATCTGCCCTGTGGCTTTCTAATTCTCTCAATCTAAATACACTAGATTATCATGTGTGAAGCGAATTAATGATTTTAGTATATAAAAATAGGCTACAACCTTTTGAATCTTAGGACTGGAAATATAAATTCGTGAAATATGGCCTGTAAATTTAAAATTGGCGTTCGATCAGTGGAAGAAGAAATAGTCAGCCGTTATAGAAGAAAATGGAAAGCCTATCCAAGATAAGATATATTTCGTTAATTACATGCATACTTAATTTTGATAATTATATTATTTATAAAGATTTCAAAGTATGTTTTCAAAGTTATAGGGACTGAACTGAATGAATTAATTTAACATAAATTTAACTTTATTTTATAAATAAAAACATAACATAATCTTTTTTTATATAAAAAGCAATATTATATAATATAATCCTTTATCAACATTTGTATATTCCTCCAAATTGTACGAAACATAAAACTTAATAATATACTCAGTGGCCCCTACAACGGGGGGAGGGGGGGGGGTCTGAAGCAACTGCTTCAGTAAATTTGAATGGGGGTACTTTTTTTTAAAAAAAAATTTTTTTTAATTAAATATAGAAATATTTTTAGCTTTAAAAAGGTGTGTTTTATGCTGCACTCGATTTAATTATTATGCAGTTTAACGAAAGATTTAATGATGATTCGATGAAATTTTTACATCAAACATCATTTTTTAAGCCAAAGGGAATAGCAGAAAAATCAATTGATATCGAGGATATCTGTGAATTTTACAATTTAAATTCAAGTCAAATTTTCGAAAAATGTTGAAGTTTAGATATATTTACAAGATGGCCGAAATGGGGAATGTAATTATTACTCATGACTAGAGGTTCAAGAATCTAAAGATTTGTCAGATTCTGAGAATTGATTTATTTAATTAAAATATTTTTACCAATACATTATTTAGCTTCTTCTGATGATGATGATAATTCAGGGACTTACGATTCAGATTGGAAAATCTATTCATTTATTTTCCTTTATCGTCTACTTTAAAATTTTTCTGCTTTCCCTAATTTAGGAATTTTATATAAATATTTATTAACCATTCCTACAACCTCATGTACTGCCGAAAGAGTCATGAGTAAAATTAAATTAATTAAAATAAGACTTCGTAGTACCATGAAAGATTCATTTCTCAATAATTTAACCAATGGAAATTTTTTTTAAAATAATTAAATATTGATGAAATCATAAATTCTTTCGCTTTCTCTTCCCCTAATTTATCTAAATTATTAATTTAAAAATAATATTTATAAAGTATATAGCAATAAAAATTATTTTTGAAATTTATGGGTGTCATAAAATAATTATCATTTTTTCGGAGGGGGGGGGTACTTTTCAAGGGGTATTCTGCTTCATTCTCTCAGAAAATGTAGGGGACACTGAATATACTCCTAAAATTATGAATAAAACAAAATCAGAAAAATTAAAATAATCCACACAAAGTAAAACATAAAACTAACATAATAAAAATCTATTACAAAAGTATGTTTCTGTTTTGTATTATAATACAAGCTTTAATAAAATGCGAAATTAATTAGGGCGTAACGCGTAACTAGTCTTTACAATCTCAGGGGGCTCAAAATATTTTTTTTAAATTTATTTTCGAAATAACTTTTTTTTAGTAGTATAAATAAAATTTAAAATTTTAAGGGGGCTAGAGCCCCTGCGCACCCCCCTCCCCTGTAACGCTCTGAGATTAAATTTCAAACTAGACGCGTTTTAGAGCTATAAATTTTTAAAACCAACGATTCCAGCCATCCTGTATATTAATTAAAAATAACAACGAACACGGTAAATAATGGTAAATAATAGAAATTCTTGTTTAAAAAAATACCAGCTTTCGGCAATAGTCCAACACACAATGGGAATCTATCTAACCCGTTATTTTAAATTTTTTTGTTGAATTAGCCATTTTTTTGTCGAATTTAGCCATTTTTGATCTCAATTTTCGACCAATGTTTAGAGCTACCCGGTATATTAAAATATTAAATGAAACGAAAGGATATGATTCTTATCAGCATAAATCTGATTGTACATATACCATGTTACGAAAAGTAATTGTATTTATTTACGTATGATTAAATAGACGATACCAGTATAGAAAAGATAGTAAAAAAATATAGAGATCCTAGAAACATTAAATGGCAAATCATCAATAAATTAAATATAAAATACTAATAAATTAATATTATCAATATAGCAAGCAAAAACCAGTGTTATGAACAAAAAACGATTAATCATAGTTTTTATTTATAAAAAAGTTAAATATAAAATGGTGCTTGCCTATAAAAAAATGATATAATTCATACAATAATTTGAAAGATAGTTTAAAAACCAATTAATTTCCAAAGAATATCAAATTAAAATTGGAACTAAATTAGATATAATTCAAAGAAATAAAATTTACCCTAATAATATATCATAGTAATTTTTCAAATATTTTTTTAAAATGAAATTTTTGATGAAATAATGTTAGAAAATACCCTAGATACTTACCATTGAAACTGAGAATGACGCACAAATGATATTTTAAAATTATTTTAATTGTCAATATTTATGTGTTCTAAGATATTTTGTATTCAAATTTTAGTCATAGGATTTAATTTTTTTTTTTTTTTTTTTATATTTATTAAATTGATAAATCGCCGGGGTGGCCTAATGGGTAAGATGTAGGCTTGGAAACACGAGCATGAACAAGGACGCGGGTTCAATCCTCTTCGATGACTGATGTGTAAAGACATATGGTATGATGAATTTCGGAGCTTAGAGATGACACCCCGGTCACCGACAGGCCTGGACAGCCGGGTGCTAAGGATACCTGTCCAATAAACAAAATGAAGGACACAAATGAAAATATGAATATGAAAGCTAGGGCGTTCCCTCCATGCGACGCGCAGGGTGTAGACCTCCATCCTGTGAAAAATAAAGTAAAGGTCAAAGCAAAGAAGACAAGACTGGCAAGTTTGAATATTGGGACGCTTAAAGGTAAGACGAGAGAATTGGCATCAATGTTGAACAGGAGAAAAGTTGATATAGCGTGCATACAAGAGACGAAATGGAAAGGACAGAAGACTTTGATGATTGGAGATGGGTATAAATTGTACTATAATGGACTTGTTAGCAATAGGAACGGTGTCGGCATCATCCTCAGTCAAGATCTAACCTCCTCAGTTGTAGAAGTCAACAGGATCTCTGATAGACTAATGAAGATAAAACTCTGCATTGGTCAATCAATACTACACATCCTATCAGTATATGCTCCTCAAACGGGTTCCAAGGAAGAAGAGAAAGATGACTTTAGAGCTATCCTTGATGAAGCCGTAATGGAAATCCCTAAGGATGACCTAGTCATAATTGGTGGTGACTTAAATGCGCATGTGGGGAAAGCAAGAGATAGCTACAAAAGGCATCATGGTGGTTTTGGATACGGAGAAAGAAATGATGAAGGAGAGCACGTACTGAAATTTGCGCAAGCCTTCGACCTTGCCTTAACCAACACCTACTATAGGAAAAAAGATAGTCATTTAATAACATATGAAAGTGGTACTAGGAAAACACAGATAGATTACATGCTAATCTCTCGCAGAAGATTAAAAGATGTAATAGACTGCAAAGTCATCCCAGGAGAAGATATCGCCGCGCAACACAAGCTACTAATCATGGATTTACAAATCTCAAATAAATCCACTCAAAATAAGATAAAACTGGAACCATGCATCAAATGGGGCAAATTAAAAACAATGACAGATGCCTTTGCAATCAATGCAAACATTGAAACAATAAATTGCTCACAAGTCAGTGAAAAAATATGGACAGACCTTTCGTCCAGATTAATAGACACTGCAAAATCGACCCTAGGCTTGACAAGAGGAGGCAACAAATCACACAAAGAACTATGGTGGTGGAATCAAGAGGTACAAACCACTATACAGGAGAAAAAAGCCCTTTATAAAATATGGTACAAATCCAAAAATGCAGATGACAAGTCAAGATACAAAAAATCCAAGAGATTAGCTACAAAGGCGGTGGCTATGGCCAAATCTATGGCATACGATGACATGTACGAAGATCTACATACCAAAGAAGGGCAAAATAAAATATACAGTTAGCCAAACAGCGAGAAAAGAACTCTAGGGATATAAACGGAGCTCCGAAAGTAATCAAAAATAAAGATGGGAAATTGATAATAAAGGAAAAAGAAATAATGAATAGATGGAAAGAATATTATCAGGAGCTTCTCAACTTTAATTCCCACATATTGCATCTCGACGAACACTCCCCTTGTCAAAACCTTGTACAACCTATAACAGAACAAGAAATAATCACATGCCTCAAGCATATGAAAAACAACAAAGCTAGGGGTCCAGACGATATTCCAATAGAAAGCCTTAAAGCACTAGGAGATGATGGAATACATCTCCTCACAAATCTGTACAATAAAATACTTGGAAATGAAGAGGTCCCCCAAAAATGGAGGCAGAGCTATCTAGTTCCTATCTTCAAAAATAAAGGGGATCCACACAATTGTCAAAATTACAGGGGCATAAAACTAATGTCACACTGTCTAAAACTATACCAAAAAATAATAGAAAAAAGATTAAGAGATATAATCGAAATAGGAGAGACACAGTTTGGCTTTATGCCTGGAAGATCAACAACCGATGCTATCCATGCAATTAGGCAAATGAGTGAAAAATACAGGGAAAAGAACAAAAAGCTACACATGGTCTTTCTCGATCTAGAAAAGGCCTTCGATAGAATCCCAAGAAAACTTATCTGGTGGGCGCTACGCCACAAAAAAGTTCCCGAAAAATATATAAGAATAATAGAGGATATGTATATGGGACATACAACAATGGTCCCACAACAGGTACTTCAGCAGGCTTCACAATAGCCGAAGGAGTTCATCAAGGGTCGGCTCTCAGCCCACTTCTCTTCATTACAGTAATAGATGTATTAGCACAGTCTATACCTCAAACAGTCCCGTGGAATATGATATTTGCAGATGATATTGTGATACTTGCCGAATCCAAGGATGAAATGAAAGAAAGGTTAGTGAATTGGATAAATATCCTAGAAACGCACGGATTAAAAGTAAATAGAGAAAAGACGGAGTATATGGTGATAGGAGGAGATGAAACGGAGAGTATTGATATAAATGATTGGCAGATATCCGCAATTGAAAGCTGCAAATATTTGGGCTCCACTATACAAACAAACGGCACAATAGAAAAAGAGATAAAGAATAAGATTAATCAAGGGTGGTTAAAGTGGAGATCTTTATCTGGAGTGCTATTTGACAAAAGAATTCCACACAAATTAAAGGGAAAAATTTACAGTTCCATAGTACAACCAACTATTCTATATAGTTCGGAAACATGGCCAACCAAAGAATCAGACGAGAGAAGTCTACAAACTATGGAGATGAGAATGCTGAGGATGATTGCTGGGGTAACAAGAAAGGATAAGGTGCGCAGTACAAGAATACTAAATAGTTTAAAGGTAGTGCCCATTAAGACTAAGTTAATGGTAAACAGACTTAGGTGGTATGGGCACACAATGAGAAGGCCTATGAACTACATAGGAAATAAAGTTGAAAGATTGGAAGTGATGGGCAAACGTAAAAGAGGAAGGCCAAAACTTCAATGGGGCCATAAAGTTAGAGCCAATATAAAGAAGTATAAAATAGATAAAAGAGATTGTACGAATAACATAAAGTGGAGAGAGATGTTGAAGGAGCTTACCACCAGAAAAGGTGAAAGCTAAAGAGAAAAAAAAAAAAATTATTAAATTGATAACGGTGATTTTATTTTTTTCAATGACTTATTATTTTTAAAACAAAATTTATTAAAAAAAACAATATAAGAAAATCTGAGCAAAATACGATAATGTATGAGAGTAGAGAAGCTAAATAACCTGAGTTTTCAACTTCACTCCCTCAGATTTGAAATTTTTACTTACAGTGGCTGAGAGACGGGTCTCTAAAATTCGAAAAAATGGAGCATTTCAGGCAAAATGCACTCCCTTTAATTTTCGATTTCTTTGGATATAATTGTGCTAGAAGCTTCATTTAAATTTTTTGTATATCCTAATGGCAAGCTATTAAAGTTATCTCATTATAAAAATTAAATGCCAAAACCGGAAATAGAAAACTAGAATCGCAAATTTTTTTATTTTCAGCTATAGAGTTAATTAATAAATATATAAAATATCAAGTTGGGCCGATCACAGGTTTAGGCGATATAGCATTTTAATCATTAGTCAATTGTAAAAATTCAAATATTTTGATAAATCATTAATTGTAATATATTCAGAATTAAAACTTTTAAATATTTATTATTTTATGTATTTAAATAATAGATTGAATAAATTGTATGTGGGGAGAGGGGGGGGTTGCTATTGTCAATTTTTATAATATATTTACTGCGTTCCTAATATTCGCATTTTTTTTCTTTTTTTTTAAACAGTATTTGGATAAACATATACGTTGTGAAGGCCTAAGAAATGCACTTATATGGTTGATTGACCAGAATAAATATTAACACTAACAATAAAATTTGTAATATTTGCCGTAAAAATTACATGCCCCCAATTGTATCACATTTCCTTCGACATCCAATGCTGCCATTGAACATCTAAATGATTTATTAACATTAAAGGGTGAGGCATCAATTAAGAAGAAATACTTAAGGGGAAAAAAATATTCTATTTTAAAAAAATTAAAAATCTAAGAAAAAATTAATATTATATTTTCAAAACTTCTTCAGTTATTTATAATATTAACGATAAATGTGAAATGATTAAGCAATTGAAATATAAATTTGAAATAAAACATTCTAGAAATAAAAAAATCAAGATATTTTGTTTTACCAAATTCTTGAACACTAAAAACAAGAAGAACTTTATACGACTGAATTTGGCAAGAATAGCAAAAAAATTGGTCAATGAGGGTTTTCTATCCAACCAAATATTATAAAGGCGAATCCCTGATAAGGACCATTTTATATTAGTAAAGGTTGAAGTGTGACACATTTTATGCAATTATAGGGAATTATATTCTTATTTTAAAGATAATCATATATATAAAAAATTTGCAGAGAGCACAGGGATGCCTTTCTGATCACCTGTTCCGTTTCATACCTCATTTAGAACCTATATTTAGAGAAATATCCTAATAACTTAATATCGCATGTTCGTTCTGGTCAAAGACTTTCTTAGACCTATTTTTTGATTCAGCCTAAACCCGCAGTAACAGGCCATATTTAATGTTTTAAAAAATTCTCAAGTCCGGTTCAATCCCATACTAAGTTTCAAAATCTTTTCCCAAGCCCATATTCCAAATATTTAATTTATTATATTCAATGAAAATAAACAATATTTCATGTATTTAGTCATTCAATTTGTTTGCAATATTGAGATTTATTATTATTAGAAAAAAAATAATTGCAATATTTTTTATTTAAATAAGCTAAATTTAAATGAAAATTTTTTAAACAAAAGCCGATTTAAAATCTTCTTTCAGAAACCTAGGCCTGTAAGAAAATATAATATTAGGGACCTATGAGCCTCGGACTTTACAAGCTTATGAAAGTTTCTGGTCTAGTTTCGTATAAATCTCGATTTTTTTAAAAAAAATATCAAGAATTTAAACCAATATTACCTAAGCCTATCCTTCTAAAAAAGAGTTAAACCTTTATGCTATCTTTTGGGAAAATCTAAAGATACATGATATTTTTTGACAAAAATGAGATTTTTAACAGCACTAGTTGGGCCATCGCGATTTAAGCCTTTTTTTATGCACAAGAACGATTACGCATATCCATCGTATTGGAATGTCGTCATACCATCCACCATGAGTTTCTGCTTCAAAAAATGTTAATAAGCCTTCGAAAGTGGTACTCATAAACTAATTATGGGTTTTAACAGCATAACTCTTATCTCTCAATTAAACGACTTTTCGATGATGTGAGACTACATAGGCATCGGCTTCGAAACCAAACCAAATATATCTTTTTCTGCTAGAGCAAAGAACAAAAATAAAACAAATACGGGAGACGGGGACAGTCTCCAAGCCATTGATGTGTTCGGTACTAAAACACTTAAACTCATCAGGCACGATGAGAACCATAGATATCAGCCATTCCAATGGATGATTTTGCTTTTGTTAGAATATATCACTCTAAATTAGTCGATCCCTCTTTTTTATCTTTAAGATCACATATTCCTACTTTCCTTTTTTTCTCTACTCTCATGGATAATCATGTTTTGCTCAAATTTTCTTATAAAGTTTTTTTTAAATAAATTGCTATTAAAACAATAAAATAATCGTTATCAATATATAATAAGTAAAGAAATTAAATCGCATGACAAAAATTTGATTACAAAAAATCTTGGAACATATAAATATTGTCAATTACCATAATTTTTAAATATCAATGTGCGTCATTCTCAGTTTCATAGGTATGTATCTATGTGCGTATTTTCTAATATTATTTTATAGAAAATTTCATTTTCAAAAATGATCTGAAAATTACTATGATATGTAAATTTTATTTTTGAATTATATCTAGTTTAGTTCCAATTTTTCAATTTTGGAAAAACAAATACCTTTTTTTGATGATAATTATTGATGGCCTTTTGTAATCTATAATTTTATTTCTTAAAATATTAATGAATAACAATTTTATAATCTAAATTGCCAAAATGTCTATAGTAAAAATATATATATAGGCTTCTTTTTATAAGCAAGCACTATTTAATATATAACTTTTTTATAATAAAAACTATGATAATGAATCGTTTTTTGTTAATAACACTAGTTTTAGCGTGCTCTATGATCACAGGTAATTGATAATATTAATTTATTGGTATTTTATATTTGATTTATTTGGTTTTGTTTATTTACTTTCGATTTCACCCATTTCAGCACTATTTTAATTCATTCTTATTTATTCAGATATTGCGATTTAGGGTTTAATTCTATCTATATTTTTTTATAATCTTTACTGACATCATCTAATCCTTTGTAATTAATTACAATTGTTCCGTAACATGGTCTATGTACAATCGGATTAATGCCGATAAGAATCATATCCGTTTTCCATTTAATATGCCAAGTAGCTCTAAATAGACGGTAGAAAATTGAGATCAAAGATAGCTAAATTCGACAAAAAATTTAAAAAAACGGGCTAGATAGATTTCCATTTTGTGTTGGACTATAGCCGAAAGCTGGTATTTTTCTAAACAAATTTTTTTACTATTTACCATAACTTACCGTGACATGTGTTCGTTTTTATTTCTAACTATACTGGGTGGCCCGAACCAATCGTTGGTTTTAAAAAACGCGTCTCGTTTCAAATTTAATTTAGTAGTGTCGATAGAGGGGGATGAGGGGGTCGAGCCCCCTGAATATTTTGAAGAGTCCCTTTTTTTATATCACTAAAAAATGGTATTTTAGGATAATGTTAGATAAGAAAAATAAGGTAATTTCGAAAATAATTTTAAAAATATTTTTTGAACCCCCTATGATTGTAAAGATGAGTGACGTACTTGATTTAATTTCGTATTTTATTAAAGTTTGTGTGGAACTTAAGATTCTCATTCTCTAAATTTGACAAAGCCAGTGTTTTTAAAAATTGAGAAATACGAAAATTTGACAAAAATAAATCAATGCTTTTAATATTTCTTTTATTAAAAACAAGTTAAGTGGGTTCCCATTGTGTTGAAATATAGCTAGACGCTGGTATTTTTAAAATTTTTCCCTGTTAAATTATATCACAAAACTGAGAGATACTTTGAAATCTTTATTTAAATAAATTATAGAACTATCAATATAAATGTAATTAACGAAATATAACTTGTCTTGGATCAGTCCTCCTTTTTCTTCTCTAATAGCTGACTATCTCTTCTACCCCTGATCGAACACCAATTGCAAAATTACAGGCCAAATTTAACGATTTTATATTTCCAGTCTTAAGAACTAAAAGGTAGTGGCCTATTTTACTAAAATCATCAACTCGTTTCACATATGATAATCTATTGGATTTAGATTGAGAGAATTCGGAGGCCATCGAACGATTTTATAAATCTTCAATAATTATGAGACAAAAATTTATGTGTGAATAAATTGATAAGCTGAGAATATTTTCTTGCTCAAAGATACTGTTTAATCGGGTGATAAAGCTTCAACACACTTTATAACCTAAATTTAAATATTTTGAGGATATTATTTAATAAAAATAAGAAATTTCATAAAAACGAAGGGCGGGCATATTTTCCACACATCTTAAATCGGAGATTTATATTTATATATTACACATCTATAATTTCTAAAGTGCGCCTCGGAGGGGGGAGGGGATAACTTGAAAGTGAAGATAAATATGATTTCAATGCAAATTCATTTATTCAACTCATTAAATGTTTCTTTGCAAATCGATTTCTTAGGGCAAAGGAAACCTTTTGTGGTATTTTTTTGAAATTGGCATTTGTCATAACGACCCTACTCTAGGAATTCTGCTACTAAAATTTTAAATTGAGGCTAACAAAGAAACCCAAAAAAAATAACCTATAAATTTCTAAAATATACAATTTTATATAGAATATTATGCCGACAATGAAGATGGGAAGGGGTATTTTGGAAAAGATTCAAACCCATTAGACGATTACGACGAAAGAAAAGGTGAAATTTGGGATAAATCACATTCAAATTATTATGAAGACCAGAAGAAAAATGATATAAATAGTTTTTGGGACGATCTGGATAATTCATATGATGGAAGAGATAAGGGAGATAAACGAAAAGGGGTAAAGAAAATTAAATAATAATATTTTTTTAGATATATTAAATATATGACGAATTTCTTATTAATTGAAATTTTGAAATATTATATAATTATTTTACTTTATTTATTTATGTAAACCTTTTTTAGTTTAAAAAATGAAAATATTAGTAAATTATTATATTTCTGAGCTTAACAAAATAAACTGATTATATAAATTATAGGGAAGGAAGAGCAATAGTAGAAGAGGCGCTGAATGTTCATATAACCCCGACACTATTTGCTACGGGAGTGGAGAAAGACTTAGGGGTCTTCCAGGATGTGGGTAACAGTAAAATATTATTTGAAATAATTATTTTGAAGTACTAATTATTTATCTATATATTATTTGCTAATATAATAAATAACCTATATACTATATTTATAGAAAATTCGTGGATTGTAATAATCCCTCTAAACCGACTTTCGGGTGCGGGCCTGGTAGAATCTTTCATCAGGGAGTTCAGTGTTGCAGAAAGATTAAAATAATTTTTAAATGCCGTTGTTATAACAATGATATAACGACTACCGCTATTCAAACCACCACTACTCTCGTAACCACCACTACTCCAATCACAACCACCCGGGTCGTGACCACCACTACTCCGACCGTAACCACCACTACTCCGACCATAACCACCACTACTCCGACCGTAACCACCACTACTCCGACCGTAACCACCACTACTCCGACCGTAACCACCACTACTCCAACCATAACCACCACTACTCGGACCGTAACCACCACTACTCCGACCGTAACCACTACTACTCCGACCATAACCACTACTACTCCGACCATAACCACCACTACTCCGACCATCACTACTTCGATCAAAACCAGGACTCCAAAGGTAACCACCACCACTCCGATTGAAACCACCACTACTCCGATCAAAACCACTAACAAGAAAAAAACTACTACTATCCCACCACCCTGATCGCACACTACTATCCCATTAGGTAAGTAGCGGTTGCGCTAACTTAACCACCACCATTTAAAAATTTCTAATTTCGGCAAAATATATTATCCCCCTTACCTTTTTCACTTTTAGAATAGGTTGGGCTAAAACAAATATTTTATTATATTATAATATACTATAGTTTTATTATTTTATTCAGTTATGTCATCTGAATTAAATAATAGAACTATAGATGTTTCAAACTTTAAAAACGTGAATAACATTTTTAAATATAATATATTTTATAATTGTTCTTTGAGATTTTATAATATAATAATTATAGTGAACAATTTTATATTTGTCCAAGAAAGGATTTCATTCTGGAGTAATAATTTTCATGAATGAATTTTTTTTTTGCTTATCAAATCTTAACACGTTTAGCCACCATATTTTTAAAAGGCTAAAATGGATTACTATAGCTTTAATTAACACTGTTATCAATTATTATATTATCTATATTTTTATATTATTTAACGCGTCATTTCATTAAATAATTCAGTTGAATTAATAATCATACCATATTTTTTTAAATGGGATTTAATCATCAATTTTTAAAAAAAATTATGCAAATATTATTTTTAGTTATCATATCTGGATATTCTATAAATTTTTATTAGTTATTGGAATAAAATGTATATTTCCATTTCTCTTATTTTGATTCCTTATATTTAATATATATCTATTTATAGGGGCAGTAACGATGTTTGATCAGGACAAACTAACTTTTTTTGAATGTTTTTGATAATATTGTCACAAATTTTTATAGGGCAATATTAATTTTTCTGTAAGTTTAATATAAATTAGGCGAATATTCATCAAAACTAAATTTTACTATTTTGCATGTATGATAAAGGAATTTCTAACTTGATATTTCTTTTTTCGTGTAAGATAGTAAAAATTAGATAAATAGATAAATATTGTAAAAATATTATATAAAGCGAGGCAAAATTTTTAAATAATGATAGAGGAAGATATAAAATCCTCCAAGCGTTAAACGATGATCGAGTTAGGATTTCAAACCAAGGAGGCATTAAACGAGAAAGATATGTGGATATTTTCCATGAAATTTAGGTGAAAAGCACAACTAAGCCTTATAGGTATAAAGTGTATTAGGTTTTTAAGCCGAATTAGTCCTAGGGAATCGGGATTACTGGTGTCCATGGCGGGTAGAGATTTACAATGCCCGGTGGCTTTGGGTAATGTCGAAAATAATTTATTTCGGCTTGGTTGACAAAAACAATGGGCCGAGTTGGGGGGGGCAGATGCAAAGCGCCTAGTACAGTGTAGAAAACGAACACTCTACAATCAAATTTTGTTAAAATAGTATTATTTTTCTTATTTTTAATTTCAATGATTAAATCATTCATAAATACGATTTCCTTTTACTTTTTGTGTTTATTGCTTTGATAATCGTGAAACCTAATTCCTCATCTATTTTGGTTATTTTTTCCATCGGATATATTGCTGGATTTTAAATAACCGAGAGGGGCAGTTATAGTAAAGGGCCAGACCTGATAATCTTTGGGCAGGTAGACCGAGTGAAAACTAAATTCAAACTAACAACTCTGGGCCTAAATTTTTATCATTAGCAAACCCCTAATGGCGGGTAGATAGCGTTACTTTGTAAATTCCTATGTCATAATTATGTTTGTCGGTTTTATAGGTCATATAAAATTCCAGGAAATTTGAAAATAGAGGTCATCATAGCGCTGAATGTGACATCGTTGCTGAGATTGATTAAGCGGAGAGGAAAAGTAGGTTGTAAGTCAATTGATGGAATGTATATTCTAAGTACCATATAGATATGTAAAATATAAATAATGACATATATAACTATATTAAAATTAAATTAAAATGCCTTAAATTAAGAATAATTAATTATGGATTCAACAATTTGTTGATGTGAAAATTTTTAAACATAAAACGCAGAGAAAAATATTTTTAACTTTGAACCACTTAGACTTATCTGTTGCGATAAATATTTTTTCAACAAGTTAGACTTGTCTGTCGTGATAAATATTTGAGGAAGTCCAGGAGCAAGGCTCAAGGTTCACAAATGAATCTCATTTTAATTAAAATTAATTAAATCTAAGACTTGGGGAATTTGAGGGAAATTATGTTCGAATAATTTCGTCTGAAGTCTTAAGAATATAATATATCAAGGGAGTGCTTAAACCATCCTATGTTCTCTGTTTGAATTTTGTCATAGGATAACCTTTTATTTTTAAAAAATTTTTTGTCGCGACTAAGGACTAGGGTCCGGTTAGGCCAATGTACGGTGATCATTTATATAAATAAAATATAACATTGTCGTTTTTACCTTTTAAAATAGCCAGGATCTTAAAATTTGCAGAAAGAAGAGAAATAGATAGAGGCCTAAAAAAAATTTATGTTTCCCGTAGTTATTTATAAAAAATTATTTTAATATCATAATTTAATCTCTTATATATTGACCCACTAGTAGTCCTAGGCACTTTGCTATTTGATCCAATGTCATCTGGTTTTTTTTACTTAACAATTTGAATTAAATTTTAAAAAGTATATTTTTAAAATATTTTAAAGTTTTGGCGTGACGTACGTTAGTCAAATTTTTTGATCCCTTATGGCCTTACTTTTTGTAAGCTAAATTTGGCTGGTGGTTAAAACTTTAAGGATTCATGTTAGTGAACGGAGGGCTAAAACAAATTATCATACGTACACCTGTAATTCAATTGGAATTAGTAACCCTAGAAATCATGATACTTTTTAAAAATCACTTCCAATTAGAATTTTTCAAAAATATTTTATTTGATATTATTTGTCCAATAGATTGTTACTGTTTTATAAGTGTCTTCAATTTGAGAAGATAGGATCAATTCCATTCCCCAAAAATAAATCACCCTCTTGACAAATACTAGTTTGTATACTTAATCTTATTATGTGTCCAAAGGTAGGACATGGACATAGTTTAAGTGTCATTAGTTATAAAAATTTTAACTTAAAAGTTTAGTAAAAAAAAACATTCTTATAAATAACTAAATTCACCCCCCCCCCCAAAAAAAAAAAATTAACTAAACTCACAACAAAATTGTATCCTTTTTTTCTCGAAAAGTTCAACTTGCACCTGAATTAAACTCATTTTATGCTTATGATTTAAAAGGGGACTTTCAAAGAACCTTTGTTTACAAAATAAGATATCGACAGATGGCTAAGAGTATGATAATATCATATTTTAACAATAAAGGTTATTTTTAAAATAAACATTGTATGTAAATTTAGCATTTATATATAAATCTGTTTTATTTATTTATTATTCAAAGAAAATATAATTCGTATCGTAAGTCATAAATTTACATTATTTCTTAAAAAATGAAAGAACACTTGTAAAAATTTATATCTATAGGAAAACAATATCGGCCAATCGCCAATTATTTAAATCATTTTTAATTATTATGTTATTCATCTCCAATCATTTCAAACCTGAAATTTTTGTTAAATTGGTTATGTCATTACGTAACAAGACAACCTCGGGTCCCAAAGTAGGTTACAACGATATTTAAACAAAAAATACGATAAGGTTCCTATAATAAATTTTGTATTTTGGGGTGCAAAGATATTGGTGTACGCCTATGGCTACATTACAGAACAATTGGATAAAAACGCTTATATAATTACTCTGAATTAATAGTTAGCACAAAATCGCGGCGAAGTAAACAAAATATGCTGTTATTCTACGCTGAGAATTTTCTATATTTCATCGCGAATTCGCGCTAACTGTGAATGCAAGGTTATTCTTAGAAAAACAGTCTCCTGCACTGCTGCACTGACCTGGGGTTACACCTACATTTATATTGCAGCAAAGACTAACCTCTGATTTATTGATATCGAAAAGGTAGAAGTTTTTAAAAAGCGTTGGCCTGACAACACAGTACCATCAGTCATTAATACATTAGGGATGTTCGGAAAGGGGGTTCTCAATTTTATAAAAGAAGGTAGAATCCTTAGATGGGGTCACCTTTTTTCCGATGACTTTGATGAAATTGAGAGTTAGGGAAATTTGGTATAAATACGTGAATCGCCCTACGTTTAAAAAAGGCATAGCATTCCTTTTTTTTACTAAAAAGTTACTCTAGTTATTTTCAGATCTTTAAAAGTATTGAATATAAGATATCATAAAGTTTTAAAATATCCTGAGCAAATTTACTTTTTTATATTGGAACTCTATTTCATTTTATGTTAGTTTACTTGTCAGATTTTAATTGTATTTCATAAGTATTTGTTAAAATTTTATGAAAAAAATATATATGTATAACACTATTCTCACTTATGAAAATTTTTGAAAGACAATTATCCCTATCATAAAGTCTTCAAATTGGCATAATATTCAAAGATTTAGAAAAGGTCAACATCTCTTACTTCATAGGGCACCTAGGGAGTATTACGTCAGAAGACAGAGGATCGATAATTCAACCCTCATCCCTTGGAAGAAGCACTTTCTAATGCACGTACACAGAGGGAATCAAAAAATCCAGATGCCGGGTAAAACAGTTTTCAAAAATAATGCTCTATTAATACAAATTTATATTTTATAATCAGTCCTACTTCTTATCCCATATATATTTTACATTTATTTATCATATTCACAGCAGAAATAAACAAACTAATTTATTCTATGAATTAATATCGATTTCAAATATTGGCGCTAAATTTATATTAATTATATACCATTATAATAAAATATTTCAAAAAATTAATATGTATAAGGTTTCAAATTAATTTAAAGAATGCATTTTTTTACCTGTTGATAAAAATCAGAATTCTAATCATCTTAACAAGGGTATGATGGAACCCATGCAATGAGTAGGCAACAAAAGGTTTTAGGCCTTTATAAAGAGGAAATGTCCAAGAGCTAGTGCATTATGCTGCTCATTGAACTTGACAATTTCTGATTGATTCATGTTCTCTGCCATTTATATTAAATTGCTTAGATATAATTTTATTTATTTTGATAAAAATTTCTCATTTATACTAGACAAAATATATTAAACAGAATTATAACTGATGTTCCTTGTCCAACACGGAGAATACTATTACAAAAGGTTTGTTTAACAAGATGAAGCCTTCACCTAAAAAGAAACGGTTTTTATGGTGTCAGAAAAGTCTATTATAAATGTCTTATTGAGATAGCCCATTGCCCAGAAATAGACATTTCTTCAGAAACAGATAAATTATTAGACATATTACAGAATTTTTTTAACATTCGAATATATTGACAAATTATTTAACTACACTATTATCTATAAAATATTTTAAAAAATAATATGAATAACATTATGAGAATAGCTGAAATCATCATATTGGCACTAAGGAAATTAGGGCAAATGTAAATGACGAAAATTTAATGAACTGTAAATTTTCTTATTTTCCAGCCAGCTGTAACATTAGCAACAACAAGTAAATAATTGTGTATAATGCTTAGAGAAATGACGAAACCCCCAAATTATTTGCGCCTTATGATTATAGAAGTTAGTAAGAAAATTACTGGACAAATACTTTTAATATTCCAAATATCTAAAAGAAATAGAAAACACTAAACCGAGAATTGACCTTTATCGGCGTAATTCTTAAGGAAATTATGGAAAGCTCAAATTTTTTTGCGCTTTATGC